TGTTGCCACTGTAACCATTACAGCGGGCTAACTTTCGTATCAACTTCCATGTGATTAGTCTGACTTGTGGCAAGTTGTGAACTCTCTAAGGTGAGGTTTTGCATTAATGACACAATAAACTTATAACTTCTACTTCTAATATGTTACCTTAACTATTATTTCCTAGTTTCTTTTGTAGCCATTGATTACACGGTTGTTGAAACACTGAGAGGATGAGATTGACAGTGGGGATAAACAACATGAATATCAACATTTTTTCACATCTAAAGCCCAGTTCAGATCAAAGATTTGCAACGAGACGAACTGAAACTTGCAATGATTTTGACTGCACCAGTCTGCAACTTTTTTGAAAACCTGCCTGTTCACACCAATGTGACGAGATCAGATGGTCTGTTGTCTCCATAGCATTAACTCTCTGTATTTCTGTTCTGATATCTCGCTTTTCTGGCTCATTTTGTCACTGAATGTAATTTGTAGCCATTGAAAATATGACCAAGGATAGTGATAGTGAGATATTTACTACAGTTGTGTAATGAAACTGTAAAAACATAAACAAAGTGACCTGAGCTTTAGATGGATAGTACTGATAACACTCTACACTCCTTTAAATTACCAGTGCCAATTAATCAGTCAATGAGTTGGAGACTGACAAATGTTTCAACAAATGCAGGGTAGTAAATGAGAGAGGCTCAGGCTTTGTTTGGTAAGTCAGGGTTTATTTGGATCAAACCAGAGTTTGTTGGGATTGTTGGAACAGTGGACTAGCAAACTAGATGTCAAACAAGACTAACTAGGATGGTTTTATTTGTTTTGTTTCTGTCAAGTCTGAATAAAGTGTGTTAAGTGTTTTACAATGAGTCAACAAGTTAGTCTTAGTTTGCTGAAAGTCAGCAAAGTGAATTTGTCTTGGTGGAACATCTACATGTGAGGAGTTAAGCACTGTCATGAAACTGGCTCTGCAAAAGAAAATGCCACAAATACTATTAAAAGTCATATATCGCTGTGTGATTTAACTTTTGCTGACTAAAAAGGCAAACATCATCAGTGCCCTAGAGGTGAAGCATGACTATACTTTAGCTCTGGAGGAGCTCACTAGACCCCTTGACACCCTGGAAGATTGGCTCGCTGAGCATAACATAATTGCGTTAAATAAGTATAAAGATAACACAGAAGCTTGTGTGAAGTGAAATGGATGGGAACATTAGTGAAGTCACTGTTATAGGCGCATGCCGCTGCCAGGGTAAAAAGATGCAGCAACTCAACTTGGCTGGCCTTGTCAGAAAACAGATCAGCATCTGGCACCGGGTCCATGTCATTGGTCCGACAGCCCATTGGTTCGACATCCCATTAGTCCGACTGTCCGCGGTGCTGAACGGCTCATGGCGGGCGTATGGTGCGCTGCGACCGGCTCTGGGTCAGCTGGGAAAGGCTTGAGGCGGAGCAGGCTCACGGCTTATGTGTTTGTCACTTTCTTTTTCATTTTAACCCACACCATGATCTTTTCCTGACCCTAACCAAGTGGTTTTTGTGCCTAAACCTAACCAGACCTTAACCACAGGGCATCATGATTTTTTCAGAACGGACTTCGGAACAATGTGTTTAATATGGTCGGAACAATGGGATGTCGAACCAATGGGCTGTCGGAACAATGGGCAGTTCCCCTGGCACCAGAGTCCTGTGAGACTGAGTCTGGGCTTTTCTGAGATGCGTTCACAAGTTGTTTAATTCATTGTAAATTTTTACAACAATTCACCTAAACAACAAAGCAGACATGCCTTACAAACATTCGTCCCAACTTGCCATTTTCAGCTTGTAAATCGTTAGCTTGGAGGTTGTTGTTTGCCATAGCAGAGGGGATTTGGAAAATCTAACATGTAGATAGCAGAAGGCAACAGCCCAAAGGTAGGCTTACAGCCACAGTCTACATCCAGTGAGTCAGACTACTGACGTGTTTTCACCATAACAACCAATAACTATCACCATTTTCCTTTGTACTTGTCAAGTGACCTTTTGTACTGTTCAATGTCTATTTTTTACTGTTTCTATTCATTCTGTTTCTATGTTCCAGACGTCATACTGACATCACAAGTTTGAGACCCACCTTTTTTTTGGTTTTAAGAGGGAGTAGCTCATCTTCACAAATATAAATTGAACATTTCCAGGCCACTGAAAAAAACATTTAGCAATTTTTAATTTAGGTGGTATTCCCCTTCAACTTTTACAATGGCAGAGTCCAATAATTAGTGTAAATGCTATTCCGGTTTGCTGATAGGGGCAGTTACCAAACCTTTGAAGCATTTCAATGGGTGCTGGAAAATTAAGCTCGGAAAATTCTTTTTTGCTTGTGAAGTGTCAGAAAAGTATTGAGTTTCATGAACTCATGCAGTACACCAAACCACGTTTGATTGAAAGCCTTGGGAGAGATATGGGCAAAAAATAATATCCACTGTTAAAAGTCAAGTCTAAATTGAAAAATGTCCTAGAACGTACAGTCTTTACTGTGCCGGTGTGACCAGCAGAAAAAGCTAATGCAGTAGCAAATGTTCAATGTAGAGGTTTAAGTCCCCAGGGTTGTGCTCCATCACTGACCGCCATGTGGGCTGAGATAAAATTACCTATAAAATTTTAAAGACGTAACAGGGGCACTCAGTTCCCTCTGTGCTGTCTTCATCTTCTGAGTTTCAGTATCAGACACTGGGGCTGCCCCTCTCGAATCTATATCTAATATGCCACCATAACCTTCCTGTGTCAGGTTGATGGACGATGTCAAGCCCCCTCACTGTGAGAGCTTTAGTAGCAGTAGTGTTAGCAATTTACCAATTTCCTGCTCCAAACAACAAGAGACCTGTTCTACTTTCTAACTTATCAAGGGCTGATGAGATAACATCCTCTCCAGTCATTTCTGTTAGAGATGAAAAAAATAAAATAGCCCTGCACTGAGTGCCTTCTAATGTCTCTCCCAGCCTACAAGACGTGTCATGTCCGTGCCACGTGTATTTTAGCCATAAGACTTGAAACGGGGAAACAACCTGACTCTGACCAAAGGAGTAAACAAGCATACTGGCTCATTAATCAACACCTCATATCTCATTTGATCTGTACATAACGTAAAAATACCAACTTGTATTTTTAAGGGGGTTAAGGAGACAACTATTTCTCAGCCATGTGCTGTAACTTTCTGGAGTCTCTGCTTGTCATTTAAACAAGATATAACATGATGTTGGTAAGTAAGCTTCAGAGGTGCTGGCAGATGGATTTTGTTACCTCTAGACAGAGCCAGGCTCGCTGTTTCCTCTGCTTCCAGTCCTTTCCTATGCTAAGATACAGCAAGGCTATTCAAGAGAAGGCTGAGACACAGGGTCAAACATGGGGGGATTGCACATGCGCAGTCTAACTTGAGCTGCGATGCTGGAGGGTGACAGCAGGGGTGCTGGATAAAAAGTGCAGGATCCGCTCAGGCGATCAAGGAGTGCGTTTTGTGCGGTCTGCTTGGACTTTTGGACGGCGGCTGCCTGAAGTTGTCGGAATTGCATCTCTGTCATTCTCACCCACAACGCAGGCCACCAGTGACAGTCCAGTAATAAGCTGTGAAAATGACATGCATGCACATCCCCTTGTATTCCGCTTCTGGCTTTAGAAAATCTAGCCTGTGACAGACACTTTGTCAAATCACAGGTCATTTTAGAGAGAGGGTGATCCTATTAACACACAGATTAGACCTAGTGCTACCGCTGCCCACCAGCCCCCTCAAACCTGGCTGGTGTGTTTGTACTGGCCAAATTCAAGCCGCTCCAGTCACTGATGGAAGGTCCATCTCTGTAGCTGTTGCCCTCTTTATTCCTGGGAAGCAGTCCACAGAGGTGGGGAGCAGGGCAAAGGGACCATGGGGTGGCTAGCTAGCTAATTCTTTAATTTGTTGTCTGATAAACAGAGAGACAGAGAGACAGAGAGAGACAGAGAGTGGGGCAATGGGGAGCTGAGCTAAACTCTACAATGACATAAGATTTTAAATAAATCAATGTATTGGAAACGCTGGGTTACTGTATGAAGTGTCTGCATATGCTTGTGGTCGTCTGGTGGGAGGGGCTTAGGACAGAGAGGGGAGAGCTGCAGGAGTTAGGTGTATTGTCAAATTCTGCCTTTTTTGCCTTTTCCAGAAAACTGCATACCCCATCTTAAAAAAAAAAAAAAATAAGTATATTGTCTCTAACTATTCATAAGTTATTGCTGTATATTATTTGTAATCATTTGGCTGAGCCTTCAGCCATTCTTGCAGGCTGACAGTCGGCAGAGTTCAGGGTCTTTATCCAAACCTGTAACAGAAGCCTCAGAGCAGATGTTACATTAGTGTTTCTGAGTACTTGCTCCTACTCTTGGCTCCCAGGCAACCTCCACCCTGTGTTTGTTTATACTTTCACTCGCCCTTACGTACATCACACACATGATCTCTACCCCTTCTTACACACTTCATTATGTTTGGTGAGTGTGTATTGATTCTTTGTTTGACCTGACTTTCAGTCAACGCAGGAGCACAAGGTGTTTTATGTTGGATGCATCAAGTTAAGGAGTGTCCACAACAAACAGAGGACTTGGGTTGGGTGGAGGGGGGAGGACGACTTATGTCCCTGAACAAGATGTGTCATTCGCCTGCCCCTGGCCTGTCAGCAGCCTGTCCCGTCAGCAGCCTGTCCCATGAGGGAGAATGAGCTCATAACTGTGCTTGGAAAAACATAAACTCCCTCAAACCCACTCTATATAAGTAAGCAAACTAAGACTCTGTGTTATTTTGGGTTTGGTTATCTATCCCTTGAGGTTTGCCTAAAGGAACAGCATCACCCAGCACAGAACAGGAATCTGATAACACTACCAAGCAAAGAAAACCGAAGAACACCTGAATCAGGCATTTTGTGAATTGACCATCACTGTTCACTCAAACTACTTTGCACCCCTCTTTTCATACCATCTCTGTCTCCTCCTCTTCCTCCTCCTGCTCTTCACAGCTGTTCTCTCCATTGTGGGAAACCTGCTGGTCCTCATCATGGCAATTAAAAGGTCGTCAAGGATGAAGCCGCCGGAGCTGCTGAGCGTGAATCTGGCAGTGACACACCTGGGAGCAGCTGTCACCATGTACCCTCTGTCCGTGGCCTCTGCCTGGAACCACCACTGGATCGGGGGCGATGTTACCTGTTTATATTACAGCCTGGCAGGGTTCTTCTTTGGCATCGCCAGCATCATGAACCTGACTATCCTGGCCATAGTGCGCTTCATTGTTGCCCTCAATCTGCACTCGCCTGGTGAGTAATTCGGGGGTTAGAAACACTGATAAAATGCTACCTGATATTTTCAAATTTAGCATCTGGAGATCATAATGACGATGCAAATGTTATGCAGCAACTTTTAACCTTATTTTTCATGCTCTAAGACCAAGAGACAATGCTATCATTATTCAAGGGGTGACTCTTCCTTTGGCAAAGGATGATTCAAGCAGAGGTGGTAAAACCTTTTAGTGTTAAAACTTAATTGTACCCCACCAAACCTGATGCCTGGTGGTATCAAGTAAAAGCCACCAAAGTAAAAACTGTATATAAAATATACCCAAAACCTGCACTTCAGAAAGGTTAAAAAAACCCAAATCTACTTCACATGCAAGACCGGAATTGGTTGCTTATACTTCTTCTACTACTACCTCAAACAATAATATTTCTATTAGTTTTTGCTTATTAATCAATATAATTATTATACTTCTTTGTTTGAACAGCATTCCAAGTACGTGTGGTAGCCTTCTGCATCTCTGGGTGACTTAGTTTCTGCCTTGTCATGAGATGTTATTGCTAAGTATGATTCAATGTCAAGAAGTATTTAACTGCTGGGGAGATGGTCCTGTCCATACAGTAGAAAGACGCAAATACTTTTAGACTGGTGTTACATGACCAGAGAAAACAGGGGAAAGGCTGTGACATTTGCTTTTGCTCAAGAGGTATAAAACTTGGCTGGATGGATGGCGCAGTTGACTGGCAACAATCAGTCTCCTATTACAAATAAACAGTGAGCTAAAATATGTTTCTAAAAACATTTTAGGTTATAAATAGGCAACATAGTTACAGAGTCTTGGTTCATATTTCATCAACACTGCCTAGTTTGATCTGAGGCCTGCATTTTCACAATACGGGTAACAGTATGTGGCCAATCCCTTTTCACAACTCACATATTACAGCCAGGCCCTCAGGAATGCCGCTCAGTCTCGTTTCCAATTTTTCCCAGTGGTCACTTGCAGCCCAAAAAGCATTTTCCACACAGACCACCACTGTAGAAGAGATGTCTATAAAACTGTTGACGGGACATCTCGAGCAGAAATCAAGGTCAATTATAGGGGTGGGAATCACCAGAGGCCCCATGATACGATACTATTGCGATTTTGCAATGTACTGAGTAGTTCAACAACATATATTGCAAAGCACTGCGATTTAATGCCGTTTTTCAACTGCAAATTGTGTCCCCAAAGGAAAACTTTGTAAACGTTGTTTGATCTGATAAGGTTTCAGTCTGTTCATCTAATGTCAGTCATTTTTATTGCAACAAAACTTATCTAGTGGACTGAAAAAGCAACTGAGTTTATTATTCTAGTGTTCTACCACAGTTTAATTTTTAGTCACAATAAAAATAAGTTATGTAATAAAAGAATCGATACTTCACTTTCTTGTATCGAAACACTATATAGTGTGCCAGGGCTGACGTCAAAACCCGGAAGTTTAGCATCGCACTGGTTCCCGGAAGAGAAAGTGAATGTGATTTTTACATTGCGTTTTGGATTATGTCAGAAAATAAGCTCTGTGGCTAACACAAGTTTATGATACGTACAGGTTTTGTTCAGTGAGATAATCTTCACATATGAACACCTTTCATACCGCATTTGAAGCTTAAATGCAATCGGCAGAAATAAAAAGCTAACGTTAGGCTTTAACGGACGGTCGCATGACTCTTGACGTCATCGCCACTAAGCTTTCAACTGATTTCGGCCGCTTTATTTTAAAAACATTGTATAATGGGGAAATCGGACTTTTAAGCTAAATAAGAAGCTGTAATGGCGGACTGCCAGCACTCTCGCCTGTTCGGGGGTGATGACGTTTAATGTCCCCAACAGGGTTTGTAGTCGTATTGAGCAACTTGTTAGCAACCACCTTTTTTACGACACGTAAAAGGTTCAAAATTCACAAGTAGGGTATTTACTGACGTGTTTTATGTCGTAGAACAAAACCTGAAACTCGCTTAAGCTTTTGTTAACCACAGACCTTATTTGAGGCATTTTACCGAAATCCCATTCAAAAAACATATTGACTTTTAGACGAGAGAACCAGAAGTGCTAAAAGCGCTATCTCTATTGCTATTATGAATTTTAATCCATTAAGGTTTTATATTAGTCGAACTCTCCTTGAGACGAGAAAAGTGATTTAAAAATCGGTGACATCGTCAATTTAAAGACCATGAGCCCAGCAGGAACTTGTGGGCAGAGCTGTCATGAGAAACACTACAGTGCATATTAAGTGGGCTGCATACCCTGGAAGTAAACCCAAATCCAAGGAACTGTAGAAACTGTTTTTTGTTGTGTACATCAGGCGAGCAATTCCACTGGATTGAACAGGCACCATCCTGGGTTCTGGTATCTAGTTGTTATTATTAAACTTCTATGATCACAGCTTAACAGTGCACTAAAATATGTGTCTGAAAACATTTTAGGCAAGAAATAGGCAATGCTGTAACAGTCTTGGTTTATATTTAATCAGCACTGCCTAGTTTTACTGTTTGTAATCTGAGTTTAAGAAGGGCAGCTTCCTCTCTTGATGTACTTCTACACTCTTTGTGTCCATGGCAGCTGGCATACAAATGTGAGGAAGCACAATCCGTAGATTGAGCAGAAGCCAAAGAGCCAGAGAAAATGCGCTGGATGGTGCGAAGTGAGCAGTGGGCACTTAAGATGGAGGGAAGTTTACCACAGCTCATTTACACAAACTACCCACATTGTAATGACACAAAGCTGATTGAAAATTGGTAAAGTATCTCTTTAAAGCAGTAATTTGACATTTTGAGCAATGCGCATATTTGCTTTATTGCTGAGACGTAGATGGACAGATTGATACCACTCTCGTCCAGTAAATATACGGCTATGGCCAACAGCCGGTTAGCTTAGCTTAGCATAAAGTCTAGGAGTTTAGGCCCAGCTCTGTCTTGTAAGGTTAGTTACAGTGTGGCCCTTCCTAAAACCACAATTACATTTTTGCGCTTTATTTTTTGTGTGAACAAACAAATTAGATATGATGTGTTACTGGTGAACTTTAGAGATGCTGGTAGGCAAATTCTGTGACCTTTAAAGCAGAGCCAGACTGTTTCCCCCTGTTTCCAGTCTTTATGTTAAGAAAAGCTAACTAGCCGCTGGCTATACCCTGATATTTACCTGCCAGATAATGACACCTTGAGTATATTTCCATCCAGGCTCTCTTATTAACTCTGTGCCCTGACACTTGAACATATATCAGAACATACTGTTGTGACAGCTAACCTTTCTCTTACTGACAAACATGATTGCAGCTCTGTGCCTGAGATGAACAGACTGCTTTGACAGTGCAGGCTGGAGATGTAGTTATTAACAGCATGGAGGTTCAGGCACTTGACTCAAGGCCTATGAAAAGTGGTATCAGGTGGGTGTATCTAAGTTGAACAGTGCTATCATATAGGGAAAAAAAGGCCCACACTCTGGCAAATTACTGAGGACCTCTGCAGACGCATATAATGTCATCTTAGTGACTGTTTCAGAAATAAAACTATCATCAGCACAATTTCCAGACCATGACACTACGCAAAACACCTCTGAAGAGTCAGGTGGAAGACAGTAAGAGGTGTGTGGTCAAATGTCTTACAAGGAGGTCTGAATAAATATACAACACAAACACATACAGAGTACACCCACATGCATATATAATGTACATTTCCACATATGCAGATATGCCTGTGGGTGTACACCAGGTATAATTAGCACGCAAGAGCAAAACAGAGTGTGTAAGACAAAGTCTACATCAGCCTGGGGACAAGAAGACAACAGTAACATGTTACAAAGTAATGGACAACTCCTCATGAAGACCCGCTGGATGTTTTATCATCAAAAAAAAAAAAACCTCTCATGCTCACAAGGGCTTCAAAATACTATTGTTAAAACATGCAAACCTGCTTACCTGCAAAATCATCTCACATCCATTATGCTATCCACCAGATTACTAAACCATGTAGAATATCTTATCAAAGAGTCCACAATAAACACTTTAGGAAAAGATCAAGTTTTGGCTTAAAATACCCAGTTTTGGTGCCACAGTCTCACCTAGAAATGCTGCCAATGTCTCGCTAAAAAACAACCAGTTTGGGAGGCACAGTCGCTGCTGGAAATGCTGGGATGTCTTGCTAAAAAGAACCAGCTTTGATGGCACAATCCCTACTGGAGATGCAAATACCGCTGATGTCTTGCTAAAAAAACAACCACTTTTGGTGCTAACATTTGCCACTGGAAATGCTGCCAATAACCAATTTTGGTCGCACAACCACTTCTGGAAATGCAGCCAATGTCTCGCTAAAAAACAACAGGTTTTGGTCGCACAATTGCTGCTGGAAATACAACTGATGTCTTGCTAACAAAAAAAAATAGTTTGGGTTACAAAATCGCTGCTGAAAATGTCACCATAGTCTTGCTAAAAAACAACCAGTTTTGTTGGCAACATTTCCCGCAAGAAATGCTGCCAATGTGCTGCCAAAAAATAACCAGTTTTGGTTGCACAATCGCTGCTGGAACTGCCGCTGGTGTCTTGCCAAAAAATAACCGGTTGTGGTTGCACAATCGCTGCTGAAAATGCCGCCGATGTCTTGTAAAATAACAACCAGTTTTGGTGGTAACATTTCCTGCAAGAAATGCTGCCAATGTGTTGCCAAAAAATAACTGGTTTTGGTTGCACAATCACTGCAAGAAATGCCACCTATGTCATTCAAGAAATAATAACTGGGTTGAATCTTAAGTGCCTCATGTAACTGCTGTCAGTATGTGCAGTTTTCTATAGGGCTGAACAGTGAGTCAGGTCTTACATCGGTAGTATGTTTTCATCTCTATTATATGGGCACTTTTCTTTGATACTTACAGTCTGCATGTATTTTTGAGAAATTCAGGAATATAACTGTTCTCATCTGCATATAATGTAAGCTGCACCACATAAGTGCCTTGAAAAGGGAAACTGTCTATAATGTACAGTGTGCTTAAGCAACAAAAAAAACAAGAGAACAACCAATCTTTCTTTGTCCCTCTGCAGATGAGAAAATCAGCTGGAAGAAGACAAAGATGCTGTGCATCTGGACCTGGCTGTATGCTCTGATCTGGGCTATGTTACCCATCCTGGGCTGGGGACGTTACGGCCCGGAGCCTTTTGGTCTGTCCTGCTCTCTTGCCTGGGGAGAAATGAAACATGAGGGTTTCTCTTTCGTCATCACCATGTTCTCCTTCAACCTCCTCATGCCTACTATCATCATCATCTTCTGTTACTTTGGCATCGCCTTCAAACTCTATTTCACCTACAAAAAGTCAATGAACAACAGCAACCGAGTCCCCAATATCGTCAAGCTCCATCGAAGACTGTTAGTGGTGAGTCGCTCATTATGATGAGACAGCTCTATAATTCTACACCCGTTTGTCCTTGGGGCTTCAATACTGAGTTGAATGGTTCTTGATTATACAGACGGTGGTCTGTTATTTAAGGATCATTAAATGGCCATTATGAAACAGCATGTTGCTCGATACTGCAAATGCAAACCCTCCTGCTTATGTAATACAAGTAATACACTAGTCGTCCTTTGCTATTGCTATTACTGTATAAGTAACCCTGGTTGAGAATCACTAGTACAGAGGAAAACCTTTCGAAGTTTGTTTTATTTAATACATATACCTAGGGGTAGCTGCTAAGGCAATCAACTGCTACACAGCTGCAGTAGAGGAGGTTCATATAAGAACAGAATGTTAACACAGGTAAACATTGTTTCATAAGGAAAACGAATGCAACAAATATAAAGCACTGAACAAAAACTAGCTGAAAAGTTAGCTGTTCTCATCCTGAAATGTGTTGCATCCATTAGTTTGCTAAGTTTGTACAGGGCTGGAAATTAGCTTCAGACACACGTCCTATATACCTTTTGTTTTTGCTCCCATTTATCGCAGATTTAACTAAAAATTTTAAGTTTTTTATGCACACAAAAGACTTATTTCAATCAAATTTGGGTCGCTAATTCGTTTAAATCCTTGTTAGTGAACACTTCTCCTTTTCCAAGATAATCCATCCACCTGACAGTTATGGCATATCACAGGCTGATTAAACTGATTAAACATCATTAGGTGTGTACTGGGCTGGTCACAATTAAAGGCCACTCTAACATGTGCAGAGTGATCACACAACTCAATGCCACAGATGTCGCAAGGTTTGAAGGGATGTGCCATTGGCATGCTGACTGCATGAGTGTCTACTGGAGCTGTTGCCCATGAACTGAATGTTGATTTCACTTCCATAAGACGTCTCCTATGTAATTTCCCTGAATTTGGCAGTGCATCCAACTGGCCTAACAACAGCAGACTACATGTAACTAGTGCTGTCAAGAGATTAAAAACATGGAGAGATTAATTAATTATGATCTGTAATTAATTAATCTAATTAATCTCTTTTTTAATCTCATCTCAAAATTGCAGAGAAAAGCCCTCAGCTTGAGGTATTTTCATTTAAATTCATTACATTATTGTGGCAGATGATTAAAAGATTGATATATACTACAAAAAGTGGTTTTATAAAGTCATAATTATTGTTTTCAACAATAACCCACTTGAACACAGATGCAGTACACCTAGCCATTACATTCTATTGTTTTTGAGATTAGTCCCAATAAAGAGTGCTGCAACCTTCAGTCTCGACCACCAGGGGGTGCTTGACTGTCATGACATGTCAGCTTCATTAAAAGCATAGCTGCAGATTAACGCAACAATAGATGTAAAAACACACAGAAACAATACATCTGTGATCAGTTCCCTAATTTTATTTTAACAATTTTCTAAATTATTTTCCTCATTTCCAATTTCTCGTTTTATTTCATGGAAGTGATCAATGTAAGTGCACTTGTCCTTTAAAGTTAATAAAAATAAAAGCTAACAAAATGAAAGACACCTGGTACATTCGTTACAGCTGTATCAGTTTATAGAACAGTTTTGAACAGTTAGAACAAGAGGCTGCACTGCAACGTGCAAATCACTCCTTCTCGTGGCTGCCTGCGCTTTCCCTGTCCTTGCGGCTGCAACTTGCCCTGTCTTCTCTTCTTCAAACTACAACACCCATAACTTATGTAGGAACTGCTGCAGCCAATGTGCAGCCAGTGGTAGCTGCATGACAAGTCAACCACCATGATCAGTTTTTAATATTTTATCGGGCAATAACTACTCCAGACTCTGCTCTAGTGTAATTTTCGGGACAATCAGAGCAGGATTCAGGATTCAGGACAGCTGAAAATTACACGGAGGTTGCCGGGGAGGTCAGATACTTACGTGCTAGGGCACACAGCTTTTCATAGGCTCCTGAGTGAGCAGACCACCACTGCAGGGGACAGTCAAAAATGCTGATGCTGGGCTCTGCTCTGTAGCTCTGCAGCTCTCCCACAACTCAAGCACAAAGAAGCCCAATCGTATGCCTAAAGACAGATTTTATAAAAGGCAACTCTGTGGCATAGAGAAACAGTAAAGTTAGTGATTAAAAATGAGATTAACGCGATCAAAAAATATAGCGCATTAAATATGGCTGTAATTAATTATTCGCAATTAACGCGATAATTTGACACCCCTACATGTAACCCCACCAGATCATGACCTCCGTATCCAGCATCTTCACCTGCAAGATCGTCCACTCAGACAACTGATGCAACAATCAGTTTGCACAACTGAAAAATGTCTTCACAAACTGTCCGAAAGCATCTCAGGGAAGCTTCTCTGCTTGCTTGTAGTCCTCACCAGGGCTTTAACCTGACTTGAGTGTGCAACTCCTCATGCTCGATTGCGCCTGGCACTTTAGAGAAGTGTCCTCTTCACAGATGAATCTGGGTTTTCACAGTGCTGGGTGGGAAAAGCGGTTTGTTAAAATGATAGTGCACCCAAAAGTGAAAATTCAGCCATTATCTACTCACCCATATGCCGAGGGAGGCTCAGATTAAGTTTTAGAGTCCTCACATCCCTTGCAGAGATCCCAGGAGAGAGGGGCTAGCAACAAAACTCCACCTAATGCAAGTAGTGTGGAGATATTCTGTGGTTTCAATTATGTGTTTTTTGGATGTTTTAATCTGGGGCACCGTCAGCCATTAAGTGTGCAGTTGTGGTGCTAGCCCCTCTCTCCTGGGATCTGCGCAAGGGATGTGAGGACTCCATCACTTCACCTGAGCCTCCCTCGGCATATGGGTGAGTAGATAATGGCTGATTTTTTTTAAAAAAAAAATTTGGGTGCATTATCCCTTTAATGTCAGCTTGTGAACAGAGTGCCCCATGGTGGCGGTAGGGTTATAGCATGGGCTGCCATAAGCTACAGACAACAAAGAGATGCTGATTAAACAGCATGATTACTACACAGGTGTGCCCTGGGATGGTAACAATTAAAGGAAACTCTAAAATGTGCAGATCTATCTTGAAAAAAGACATTTATTAGGATTTCACGTGACTAGAAAGCGAAAGAATGTGGTCACAGTTCCCCCAAAGAATCAGTCGGTACCTGTTGTGACCTCAGATGGCTGGTCTCAGACAGGTGAAGATGGTGGATGTGGAGGTGAACCAGCCTGAAAATGAAGGACATCTGTAACGACTGCATTAGAGTCAATGGAGCGCAGCTGTGTTGTTGTCAGACCTTGGTCTGAGCCGACCCAATGCTAATTTATGACTGGCCAGTCTGCGTCCAGAGGGTGGACTTAGCGAAGGGTCAATTGCTCTGGTGGACATTCCTGCAGCCCTGTACAATCTAAACAAACAAACACATAAACAGGTTTCAGGATGAGAACAACAAAAACAATCTTTGCACTCACACCTGTAGTGTACATGTTGCCAGGCACATTTTGGTAGATCAAGACAGGTTTTTTGTTTTTCAAAGATCTTGAGAGGAATTTACTGACTTCATCTTCCTGTTCTATTGCAGATCGCTGTGCTCATCAGTGTAGGCTTCATAGCCTGCTGGGCGCCCTATGCCATGGTAAGCCTGTGGTCTATTTTCCGTGACAGTAGCACCATCCCACCTGAAGTCACTCTCCTCCCGTGCATGTTTGCAAAGAGTTCCACCGTATACAATCCTTTGATCTACTACATCTTCAGCCAGAGCTTCAAAAGGGAGGTAAAGCAGATGCGCTGTCTGTGCCTCGGCTTTAACCTATGCCACAACTCCAACAGCATCAACGACAACAACGTTTTTATGGTCAGCACTGACGTCAAGTCGAAATTAGAAGCACGGCCTACTTTGCAGGAGCTCACCGAGTGAAAGACAGTGATTCTTGGTTGAAAGACTTTTTTCGGACATGCTTGAGAATAAAGACTTTTGTGCTGTGTTAAATGTGAAAAAAACTAATGGTCTCATAATTTGTCATCTCACAAGCGTTAATAGGATGTACACCAGTACAACCGGTATGTGCTACTATAACACAACAAGCAGGGTCATACTAGCCTTTTTTTGTGTGAGGCCATGATGAATGAGAGGGCATGTTTGCACAATATGTTAAATGCTGTGAAAGTTCAGCAAAGTAAGCTATAGAAGAGAGTAAACTCTGTGCTTAAGTGGTGGCTGAAAACCCCTAAATTATTGTAGCCCAGAAACAGAGGCCTCCCCACTGCTGCCAGATGATTGAAGCAAAGGCGACAGGTGGCAGCCAAACAGGATTCAAGAAAATCATGCATTTTAACACAATACAAACCAAAGGTTGTACAGCAGTACAGTACAGTACAAAACTTTATTTTGAGCAAAGAAAAAAAGAAGTGATGTTTACTTTAATGTGTCATGTTTCATTTGTGATACACTTTTGTTTGAGAAATAACTTTGTGACACCAACTCAGTATTTTTCCATGGAATAAATCTCTTTCAGTTCAGGATTACCATTTACCAACTACTGCATGTGCTAGATGTTTTAATTAAGTGAATGCTGGAGGATCCTATATTTCATAAGTCTGCCTCTGAAAATGTTTACATAATGAACACATATTGTCCATGTTCACCCTGTCTGATGGATGTATAATGGTTTCTAATATCATTTTTAGCAGCAGCTGCAACAATCTTGTTTAGGAGAAAGAATGTGACCAGCTATTATATTTTAAGGATGAGACCATCGTTATTCTTTAATCTTTTTATTACCAACAAATTTGGACCAAAACCACACAATGGATTTATTCAACTAACAAGTTTTGTAAGGTATAGTCATTAAACTGATGTTCACTGTGATGAAGGAGTATGTTGACTGAATATTTTTGCATTAGTGGCTCTTTGTTGAAGAATTTGGCATTTTGGGAAGTATGCTTATTTGGTTTCTTGCTGAGAGTTAAATGCATAGCCAGGAGCCTGTTAGCTTAGCCTAGCATGAGGACTGTAAACAGGGGGAAACAGCTAGCCTGGCTCCGTTCAAAGGTGACAAAAACTGCCACAAAACATCCTTTTTTACACTTAAGTTTTTGCACAAATTAATCAAACAAGAGTGTTAAAGGGGAACTAATGTTTTTTTCAACCTGGGCCCTATTTTCCGATCTACTTTTGTCTAAATGAGTGATAGGACGTACAATATTTGACATTTCTCCAGTACGAAGCTAGGGCTGACCTGCCTGCAGCCTGTGAGCTCGCACTATATTAAATAATAGGGCACTCAGACAGCATCAGTGTCAAAATACGTCCACTAAAATTGCATTTTTTTCACACAGATAGGCTCGGATTGTTAGTATAATTATCCGACAACATAACGGAAAGGAGAAATGAACGTCTGTTTTTACCTTTAGCTGGTTTCTGACATGTTCCTCTGCCTGTTGCTGCTCCCTCTCTCTCCTCGTCCGCTCTTCAGTTTCAATGAGCTCTGCGTCCGTGTACGTCCATGTACTCCGTGTTCAAATAAATACGGGCGCTCATCAAATTCATATGGCTCATCCAAATCCAGTTGGTCAAAATCGGGTAAAAATTCGGACATGTTTGTTGTGGCAAGTCAAAACACTCACTCAGAGAGTGAAAGTCTGGCTCTGAAATCTCACGTCTCGCGAGATTCTTCTTCTTCTTTGGTGTTTTACTATACAGTCTATGGTGTTTTACGGGAGTTGGTTGACTGTCAGCACTGTACTGTCAGTGCTTGTTAGTAGGATAAATGTATTTCTGTTTTTGGCCTTTCTTGGATTTGTTAGCAATTTTTTAAAAAAAATAAATCCTTTATTTGCAACCTTGTGAACACTCAGAATGATTAAAAATAAAAGCTGTTTTAGAAACCTGTGTGTAGCTGATTTTCATGTCATCAAGGTTTCAACAACTGATCTTTATATTTCACTGGAAATTCCCATGACAATCGACTGCCTGTAGTCAATGCTACAGAACACATCACTGTACACTGCTCAAAAAAATAAGGGAGCACTTAAATCACACATCAGATCTTGATTAACGAATTATTGTGTAATTTGTTAGGAACAAAATGATATACACATTTTCCCCGAGACAGCACAGACGATCTATACAATCAGCACAGTTTCAAGGTGGACACCCAAGATAAGAGTCACCTATTCAGTACCTGATCAAATGTTTCCCCTTCTGTTCCTGAGATATGACGTTGACTAATGGCCAGAAAAAGTGTTTTACGCATAACATTATGGTGTCACAGTGAAGCTGACCTTTGACCTTCTGGATATAAAATGTCATCACTTCATTATTTTATTCTATTAGACATTTGTGTGAATTTTTGTCATAATTAGCACATGAGTTCTTGAGTTGCGGCCAAAAATTATCTTATGAGGTCATACTGACCGTGACCTTTGACCACCAAACTCTAATCAGTTCATCCTTGAGTCCAAGTAAACATTTTTGTCTTTGGCCACAGCTATTGCCGGCGCAGACGACCAAAAATTTAAATCACAGGCTGATCAAACTTGTGTGAATTTTATCACGGCAACTCAAAATGTGACTCAGTAATGTGTATGGCTCCTGCATACCTGCATGCACTCCTGTCAACATCTGGGCATGCTCCTGATGAGTCAGCCGATGGCGTCCTGGAGGATCTCCTTCCAGATCTCCTTCCAGATCTCCTTCCAGATCTGGCTTAGGGCATTAGTGACTGGACAGTCCCTGGCGGTACTTGGCAGCGTTGGATGCACTGATACATAACATCCCATAGGTGCTACGTTGGATTTAGGTCAGAGGAACGAGAGGGCCAGTCATCGACCTCAAAGCCTTCGTCATCCAGGAGCTGCTTACACACTCTGGCCACAGGCTGGGCATTGTTCTGCACCAGGAGGAACCCAGGGCCCACTGCACCAGCGTAAGGTCTGACAGTTGCTCTGAGGATTTCATCCGGGTACCCAACAGCAGTTATGGTACCACTGACTATGACATGGAGATCTGTGCATCCCTCCAAAGATCTGCCTACCCAGACCATCACTGACCCCTTGCAGTGCTCCCCCTGTTCCTCCTCACACAAAGGAGCAGATACCAGTCCTGCTGCTGGGTTAATGCTCTTCTATGTCCCAGTCCAGCTCTCCTCATGTAATGGCTGGTCTCCTGGTATCTCCTCCATGCTCTTGAGACTGTGCTGGGAGACACAGCAAACCTTCTTTCGACCACATATATGGATGTGCCATCTGGAGGGGCTGGACTACCTGTGCAACCTGACTAACAGAAGAAAAACTAGAGAAGACTCAGTCAGGAAGGATAAGGAGAGAGCAACTGTCTGTGGACACCACATGTGAAACCATTCCCTCTTTGGGTGTTGTCTTGTTTTTGTCTCTCCATTGCACCTGTTGTCACTTTGATTTGCACCAAAGCAGCTGAAACTGATTCAAGTCACTTGTGCCTCCTAAATTGACAGACTGATATCCCTGAAGTTTAACTGACTTGGTGTTAGACTGTGATGATTAAGTGTTCCTTTAATTTTATTGAACACTGTACATAAATCAGCCTATGAAAGCATCTCTGTAATGATAATGAAGTCATGTTATTGCACACGCTTCTGCCGAACAGGAAACTGTTCTCGTCCTGCTTTACTCTGGGAATACTGTTTTCTTCAGCTGCAGTCTATCAATTCTCTTTTCAACCTTTCCTTTTCATTGAGCTTGACTGAGTGGCAAACACTGTACGTTTTTGCTGTGCCGTGTAGCTTTGTTTTATTGTAAACTATTGAATTATTTCTAAAAAATGTGAATGTAGAGCTCTGAACATTAACACTGATAAACAAAGCAAAACACAGCGATTGTCATCCTGAATTCCAGTCAGGCACAGCTGCAACTGTGAGACTTGCACACATTTAATTCTCTGTTTTCTTACTCTCACTTTCAAGGCAGCCAGAGCTTGATGCAGAGGGGATAGTAAAGTCAGTCAGCGAGCGTATCAGCCTGTCTACAAAGCGTCAAAATGTCAGTGTATAAATTAGCAGACACTCCTAAAAATACTCTTAGTATGCAGTATGAAAACTAAGTGTGTCTGTAGAATAAAATGAAATCAAATACTGGTGTATTGGTGTTCATGTGTGAAGAGGGGACAAGGTAAGAATATTGTCAGCCGCTTTGTGTTTCAGCTGTGAAACATACGCCATTTTGAGATTAAAGAGGCATAGCAGCGTAGACCTGTATCCAGGCTTTTCTCCCTGATTGCTGGCCTCGATCCTCAACACAGGAGCTGACTAGGTGTCCAGAGGGGTATTTGATCTTTCATGTATTACATTTTATAATACATACGCTATGCAATCATATGCTGTCTCCCTAAACTGGCACTTAGTCATCAAAACTTTGAGAAATCCTGTTATATCCGTTAAAAGTTTTGCAAGAGGCTGTCATAAACCAAAGAATAAAACATATCAAAGTAGGTCTTGTGGAGTACCTCTGCATATGTAGACAAAATAACATATATAATGTGTATATGTGCCTTGAGAGGGAGCTGCATAACATCCATAAATGTCCATAAGTGATGTCACTTTAATCGGCATCATTTGGGGCTGAAGGGTACACGTCTGAAAATGAAAAACATAGAAGTGAGCTTACCTGACAATAGAGCCTGCTCCTCATCTCTGCTGGCGGCTTGAGGATCCATTCACCACTGCTAGCATTACACCCAGATCTCTAACCAAGCTGTCAGGGGTTGCGTTGCGTTGTAGGTAACGTAGGCACTAGGTTTTGATAAAGAAAAGGAATGCATGAAATGAAAAAGACAATATCACTGTTCCAACAATGATAAAGAGGTGCAATACTAAGTCATCGGAATAGTTTAAAGGCCCAGTGTGCAGGATTCAGGAGGATACATTTGCAGAAATGGAAAATAAAATGATAAGTATGTTTAATTTTGGTGTATAATCACCTTAAAATTAAGATTCTTTTGTGTTTTTGTGACTTTAGAAGGAGCCGTGTATATCTACATAAGAAGCAGGTTGTTGTCTACAAAGACAGTAGTCCAGAACGAACAAACCAGACACTGACCTTATATAGAGGCATTCGCCAGGTCCATGTGTTTTGGAGAGGAAAAGACCTCTGAGGATAATCTGGTAAAACATCATAATTTTATCAGAGGAAAAAAGCTGAGCACACATTAGCACATGCTGGGCTAATGGCCTGTCTCTGCCGAGCCAAAAGGTGTAGGAGAAACACAGAATTGTAATGAGAAGCTGCTTTATTCAGAATTTTAATTGCTTAAATTTCCTGGTCCGTTTGTTTTGGAGAAAAAGAAACCTCTGCAGGTAATTCAGCTCCCAGCAAAAACCTCCTGAATGTCTGGATCACTAAAAAGGTGACTACACTGCATCTGCAATGCACCAAAAAGCATAGGAGCAATTATGATTTGTAATGAAATGACATGAAATAGCTTTATTTGGTGTTTTTACTGCTTTAAATCGACAGAACAGTTTGTTTTGGAGAAGAAGAGACCTCTGCGGATAATTCGGCTCCCAGTATAAACCTCCTGAACCATGAACACTAAAGGAAATCTAACTGGGAGGTTTCAGCTGGTTGCAATCTGCAGTCTTCACCACTTTGTGTGAGTAGTGTGTGTCAATGAATTGGGGTAAACTTCCATCCATCTTATCAGCGCCTAGATCTCCCCGCTACATCGCTCAGATCGAAATTTCGCTAGCTTTGAGGCTGTTAATCCAACTAGATTGTACTTCCGCATTTTCATCTGCCCGCCACCATGGACACACAGGTCAAGAGAGTGAACCACCCTTCTTGCTCCCTCTTACACTGTAAAACTAGGGAGTGATAATCAAATACGACCAAATATTCTGTTAAAACACTGCCTATTTCTCATCTAAATGTCTACAGAAACGCATTTTAGTGTCTTGTATGGCTGTGATACAAACATTTGTTAACGAAGAGCGGGCGGGCGCCATCTTGTTTCCTGCACCTTGTAAACGGAGGCTGAAAATACTGAGCTCTAAGGGTAGAACTTGGCTGTGCTAAATAAACGTGAACCAAGATTCCGTTACTATGCGTATTATTTCTCGCTTAAAATGTTTTCAGAAATGTATTTTAGCTTACCGTTTGACTGTAATTTGAGGTCGTTTGTCACTGTTAGCAGCCTTTCGCCATTTTGTCCTCCGTGGACCAACCAACGGCCAACCTCGCACGTCATCCACCAGAGGTGGGGCGAAGTGCATTCTGGTAGATGTAGGTTTTCTACCTTTTCAGCAACTCTAAAGGCATAGCTCTTTTCCTCTGTTTTCTCTGATCATACAGCACAGATTTCAAAACTATCTGATATTATTCAATACTAAAAACGTATAAAAATACATTTTTAAGATTCTAATATAAATATGGAGTTATATATGTGAGACTGTAGCTGCTGCACTACAAAGTAACATGTCCTCTGACGTCAACACCCAAACGTGTTCGATTTCAAGCAAGTAACAAGCTGGAACCAGAAATTACTGTGCTCGTAATTGCTGCAAGGTTCAGTCTCTAACGAGTACATATGCTCCAACTCCATGAAGCCAATTACTGCAATGTAGTCAATGTCAAAATAGTATCAAAACAAATCACCCTCTCAATTACCACCAACTCTCATCCATTAAGTTTGAGATAGTACCTTCCAGTTATAGAAGTTGACTTCTGCCTTACCAGGCTTTAAAAAAAGATTTATTTCACCCACTTCATGTCCAGAGTTCACATACTTTATTTAGAGCAAAGAGCGCTCAATCTGGTTCACAATCACAAGTAGAAAAATACTATATCCAGCTGTTTCATAAATTGGTCTGTGGTTTTATCTCTGACAGAGGTTGGCTGAATTCAACATGATGCAATAGAGGCAAGAGAAAAAGACAACAGAAGGCCACATTCAAGATGATAATATCCATGAAAATAAAACCCAGGGGCAATGAAAGGTTTATTTTAATGTGAATTAGTACCCATCCGTCTCCACTGCTCTAGCACTATTACCACCCTGCATGCTAACTTCAAATTACACACATATTTCACAATTAAAACAGCACAAGTAGGATTATAGTGCTGTGGTGTAATGTTTTATATTGGATGCCAAAAAAGCGGATCTTATGCCAATGTTTCTATAACATATATTATGTTTTTTATGTCATGTGAGCTATGATTTATTGTTTGTTAAGTGTGAGTAGAAGTCTTAGGGTCCTCTCACACCAACCTCGTTTGGTCTGGACTTCTGGACTTTGAGGATTGATCCAAACAAAAATAACAGGTGTGAAAACTTCCCTGGGCCACGGTCTGGACCAAACAACCAAATCTTGGTCTGACGGTCTGGATCACACTAAACCATGGCTCAGTTCAGTTTGTCCATGAACAATGCAACATAACAAACTAAGCTGTGGTGGCACATGTGGAGAGGAGGCGACGTTATTACAAAGAGTCAGCTGGACAGTTTTCAATTATTTTCTGAGGATAAGAGCGGGATACAAGAGGATGGGAGAGCAGCTCACGTAGATGATGACAACAGGACATTGGTATGTTCTGTACAGTTCTTAACTGCACTTGCATAATTGCAATGTGAAACCAAAACGAACTGAATCAAATGTATACCACGTAAGAAAAACGCGAACCTGTGTTAACACCTTGGTTCAGACTTTCAGGTGTGAAAAGGCCCTAAATATAGTCTAATTTCTGTCACAAATATTTAAGTATTTTCTGTTAAAGGGATAGTTCAGATTCTTTGAGGTACAGTTGTATGAGGTACTTATCCATAGTCAGTGTATTGCATATTGCACACAGCAGGTGTCAGACGGCACGTTCCCAGATTGGAGAAGCAGCAGCAGGAGTCCAACATGGAAGCTAAATAATGTACTACTAAAGATGAATTTTAGCTACCTAAAAAAATCAATATCAGTTTAAGTGTACATGATATTAAGAATATTTTCACCACTTTACCTTTCAGTCTGACAGGGAAGCCCCTGACTGCTTCAGTTCCCCATCTATGCTCTCGTCAAAACCACCAGACCCCACTGACAAAAACCTTAATTTAAGCTCGCTGAATTCAGGAGCTGCTGGTCCACTGCTGCTTCAGTCTTAGTTAGTTTGTGTTGTTGTGTGACTTTGGTGAATCCGAACTTGTCCTTTTTAATGCCAAAGTCACACAACAACACAAACAAAATACCTAACCGAGGCAGCAGTAAACCAGCTGCTCCTGTGTTCAGCAAATCAAATCACTGTTTTTCTCAATGGAGTCTGGCTGTGAAGAGAGCAATATAACGGCTTCACTTTCCAGTTGGAAATCACTGTCTGACATTAAGGTACAGCTGTGAAAATATTCTAAATATAGCGTACACATAAACTGATATTTTTAGGTGGCCAAAATATGTTTTGTTCCTAACCCCTCCACAGCAGTAGACTGTTTAACATCCATGACAGACTGCAGCCTGCTTCCCCAAACTGTGCGGGTGCTGTCTTTAGATTAACTACCTCATACAACCCCACTTCAAAAAATCTAAACTATCCCTTTAAAACTCTTAAGTGTTAAGCAAGAGGCAGTCTCACTCCTATTCTGGTCTTTGTAGGATACTAGCAGGATATTAATAATCTTATAACCACTGCAATACACACAGGCATCCTTCAAAAGTTGAAGTAATTCATTAAATGGCTGTTTACCCAACAGAAGATGTGAGAATATTTCTTTAGATTTTAACTACAGACTGTTTGTGATGTCATTCTTTTTTCTTTGTGAAGATACAGGACTGAAAAAGACAAACTGTGAGGACACTGTTAGTAATTAAAATCAAATTAGATAAACAGTAAATGCAGTGTTAATACAACCACATCACACCAGTAGGGTTTTAATCATCTTGACTGCTGTACATGCGTCTGTGTTCTCACATTGGGGAGTGATTTTTGTGGTTTTACAATCTTATGCTACGAATCAAACTGATTCTGTACACAAGCGTGAGCTCCCTCTTGTGACTTTGCTGTTGCCACAACATGAATAAACAGTTCTTTTAGTTGTAGTCTGAGTTCACATGGCCTGCCGGATGTTTTCCAGGCTCTTCTCAATGTTGTCAATAACCTCCACTGCAGCTTGTGGGATCCTGGTTCCTGGGCCGAAGATGGCGCACACGCCGCTCTGGTACAAGAACTCGTAATCCTGCGTACACACAGAAGTAGAGCATTATCAGGGTTCCTATACATTTTGGAATTTCAAAATTCCATACTTTTCCATACCCTAATTTCCAGACTTCTCTGCGTTTTTTTTTCTCTCAGAGAATATGCGACATCTGAGTAAATATATCAGTGTATCATATTTCACATCATATTTAATTATTCTTAATAGGCGATTGTAGCCAAGCACCATAATGGCATGCAAATAAAAACTCAGGTAAGTTCAGTGTCTGGGCTGAGGCAAAAAGATTGGGACTCTGGGTGCAAGCGATGCAGTAACGAGACGTCAGTGTTTTTTCCTTTCATGTGGCTCAGAATCGCCTTCTCCCCCATGTTGGCGATGTCAAACAATTTCACACAAAGCTTGCATCTAGCTCTGTGTGTGAATTGGGAATCCTTGGCCAACCAGTATTTATATACGGTATCGTCAAGCCATCCATCCAAAAACTTGCATCTACCTGGGGGGCTGGAAGAGGGTCATGGGGCAGCGGACTGGACATACCACTTGTCAATCAGGTAAACACACACAAACTGTGCTTGGCCCGGCATAAAACACGATCCGGACTGATTACATTATTTTTGGAAATACCTAATTTTCTATTTTAGAAAACAGTATTTTAGAACAGTGGTAATAGTCTGGAAACATAAATATTTTTCCATACTTTATTTTTAATTTTCCATACCTTTTAATACCTGGTAATTGATCAAATTTATTTCCATACTTTTCCTACTTGTGTAGGAACCCTGCATTATGAAGTGTAGTTAATGAGGATTCAGATTTATTCATGTAGAGAAATAAGGATGTGTTAGTTATGCTTATGCAAGGCAGCGCTGCATGCAATCAAGGAAACCTATAGTAAGGATGTGTTAGTTATGCTTACGCAAGGCGGCGCTGCATGCAATCAAGGAAACCTATAGTAAGGATGTGTTAGTTATGCTTATGCAAGACGGCGCTGCATGCAATCAAGGAAACCTATAGTGTGCTACTAATAATTACATGTATCAGGGGGGTCCTAATCACTTCAGATTGGCTCTTTGTCCACATGATGGCAGGATGACATTTCATTTGCTTATCTGTGTGCTTTCCAAGTGAGCTACATAGTAGTCTCGCTCATCAGACCTTTCTCAAGAAAAGAAAGGTCTGGCTGGGCCGACTCTCACTTTGAGATTGGAGAAAAAAACGCCCCGGCTGCTTGTATTTCTTTCAACCAATCACAATCGTTCTGGGCAGTGCCACAGCAACGGAGCGCTTGCAAAAATATTGCCGGGGGAAACAGGTTTTGGTGTAACACACTCACAAAAATATCGCCTACAGGACACAAACCATGGCAGAAAAATGGCTACATCCACGCAAGACCAAACACCGCAAAAGTTATTAAAGGACGTGCTGAAAACTGCAACCAGAGGTGGTAGGCCTGGACGTCAGCAGGTGGGTCGTTCCGCCCAATGAGAGGCTGATCTATGCAGCGAACTTCTGCCCACTCAGACTAGCTACATAGTGGCCTCCACACTCGCTGACTGAGCCCTCACAGACATCAGTCATCCCTTAGTCTGTGCTCTGCTACAGACTGGAAGACCCAGCAGAGAATGGTGAGGACTGCAGAGAATAATGTCAGAACCTCTCACTACTCCTTCCATTGGACATTGGACACAAACGCTGCCTGACACGTGCACGCAACATCACTAAGGACTCCACACACCCCCATCATTGACTGTTCTCCCTGCTGGCCTCTAGCAAGAGATACCTCAGCATCAGAAGCAGAGAAGCCAGCTTCATCCCTCAAGCCATCAGACTCCTGAACTCCATAAGATGATTACCCTCTTACACACCATCCACTTACACTGAACTCAGTCGATAAACCCCTTCTCACACTCTCACTGATCTCTGGTCTGAGCTCGACAGACTTTTATTTGCATTATATTTATTATTTGCACTGGAACTTTTGCTGCTGATGTGTAGCTTTATTCATTTTTATTCAGGGAGTCAAATGCAAGGAAACTTATGGTAAATAAATCAGTGAGGTCGGGTGAAGTCTGCACCCGAAATAAACGCTCTAAAAGTCTGCAGAAAGTCCACTTGAGGCCCCTTGCAGACTGGATAAAATGTGGATTTCAGAGTTACTATGACTGGATTTTGTCACTGTCCTAAGGGTTCTTAAACTTCATAAATTGTTGTAATTCAACGTCTCTTTTTTAAAGATATTTTGGGGTTTTTTTTGCCTTTGTCCTTACAGGTTTCGTCAGTGCTCCATCATGTTTGCGTGTCTTCAATAACCTCACATCATCTACTGGGGCTGCAGTAGCTCAGTCCATAGGGACTTGGCTTGGGAACCAGGGGGTTGCCAGTTCATGTCCTAAATTAACCACAGAGGCCCAAAATACACACACAGATAGCTATACATGCATTGAACTGGCACCTCTCCAGCTACTAGCCCACGCTCCAAACATGGAGCTTCAATAAAATACATAAATGTGATATATGTAAAAGAAACTGTAAACCACGTACAATGTATAAGGCTGTCTCACACACATATGTATAAATAGACAGCATGTTAATATCAGTCATTATATACTCATCATAAACTTCATCAGACTGCATCCAGGAAATGTCAAAACTTGTTTTACCAACATTTTAATCAATAACATTCTGAAAATGATTCTTCTGATTAAAAAAAGGATTTTAATTCTCCAGAAATGTTAATTTTTTATTAAGAAGCCATTAATGTTTTAGAAATGGATTTGTCTTTGGTTATTAGTGAAATTGCAATTACGGCCTTGATGCTCTGGCATGTGGCCTCGCAAAAATTGCCCCCTGCAGTCCAAATTGCCCTGCCTCTAAAATGACAATTCCAGGCCTGACACTAACATAAGTTTTCATTTCCTTGTTGTGTGCTTTTCATTTCCATCATCTTTCAGAGGGCACAGCTAAGTGCACACAGTGTGGTGGGATTATTAACATGAATGCCAGCTCATTATGTTGAATGCTGTAATCAAACTGACACCAGCACCTCACGCAGCCTCTCTGAGGCTCATTAGAAGATTAAATCCTCCGGGTCGGCTTTAATTACTGAGAAAGAAAATGCCTCACGCGTGCTGGGAAAAACTGATGCTTTCACTGATTTTGAAAAACATCAACATTAGCTTGACAAATACAGATAAGAAAACACATGTTTACATGCAAGTGTCCGTCACACAGTCACATCACTGTTGTGTCACAGAATAAACAGGACTACAGGAAATGAGTGGCACACGATAGAGATTTGATAATCAAAGTCAAAGGCTACCTGTGGTGGGATGACGCCCCCACAGATTACGAGGATATCGGGCCTGTTGAGCTTCCGTAGTTCTTTGATGAGCTCCGGAACCAGGGTCTTGTGTCCTGCGGCAAGCGTGCTGACCCCAACGCAGTGTACATCTGCATCAACCGCCTGCTGGGCGACCTCAAGGGGAGTCTGTTCACCCAGGAGTCAGACATGGAAAAACAAAGACAACACAACTTTGAGTGACATGTATGAAACATGAGAAAATACCAACATTTAAAATACAGCCACACAACTGAAGTAAAAGTATAAATCCATTTCTGGTTTTCCATTCCATCTCATTTTTACAGCTGAATCCAAAACCTTAAGGCTACAATACTGACACAAAAGGAATCATTTTGTTGTTCAATTTAATTTATATGGCGAATTTAGATTTGGTGAATGGTTGGAAGAGGATGATAAGAGCTCTAATTATCTCCAGCAGACAGAAGCTTGAAGGGGGTCATGTGTGTATGTACAGGAGTGAGTGTCTGTCTATCCGCAGCTTATCTTGCAAACAAATGGACCAGTCAAACTAATATTTTGTGAGCACCTTTAATACTGTATGTATGCTAAAAGATTCCCCCCGGAGGAATAGACAATTCAAAATTAGATCTCTTCGTTGTCCAGCCTATTTCTCCCAGACAGAACTGAGCTGGATATAACATTAATATGAGATTTTGATCATTTTCTCATACTTTTTAAAACCAGCTCCTGACAAACAGCCTTCCTCTTGTGTCAGCCCGATCCTAATTTATCATCTTAATATGTTCTTTTTCCTTTCTCACTGCAGTAATCTTTATGTGTCTGAAATAATCATCTTATGAGACAACAGTAAGATCCAAAAGAAAACTTAATTGGCAAATAAATGAGCGTGCACCGTTTCAGAAGTTTGTCTCAGTGATCAAATTCAAGTCTCAACTTCTAGTCTCAACAACTATACTGTCTGATCTCAGAGTCAAGACATCTCGAAAGAAAGCAAAAGAACTCCTGCTAATTTATTCTTGTGCTTGGTGAAGCGGCGGGGGATTTAGTAATCTCCAAATAAAGAGCTGCTTTATTTCTGATGTAACACAGAAGACTCTGGGTCTCATGGTTGTGGTGATTCATAATAGCTGAATAGCTGAGTAATTTCATATTGTCGCTGACTGCTGACTCCTCACTCCTCTTAATCAGCTGACAGGAGCCAGCATTATTCTGTCGGTAATGCAAAAGTTAGCATCGCACTGGTTCCCTCGTCAAAAAGCGAATGGGATTTTTCCATTGGATTTAAGATTAGTACTAAAAATAAGCTCTGTTATGATACTTACACGTTTTGATCAGGAAGATAATCTTCACACACTTTTATGGTTATTGAAGCCTAAAGGCAGTCGTCAGAAGTAAAAAGCTAACGTTAAAAACGGCTATAAACAAACTACACTGTGGTCATATGACCCAACGACACCACCATAACAAGTCTGTAAAGCCATGTTCGGCACAGCTCGGCATGATGACGTTCTGTAGTCTCATTTAGCCACTTGTTCGCACCCACCTTTTTTAAGACACATAAAAGCTTCAAAGTTTACAAGTGGGGAATTTACTGACGTATTTTATGTGTAAGAGCAAAACATGATAGTCTCTTAAAGGAAATGGCCACTTTAGAATGAAAATACAGACAGTACTTATTGACCCTCAGGCCGACAAGAAGTCCAGGGTAGTTTTTTAATCTACAAAACTCATTCAGGGTATCGGAGGATAACAGCTAGCCGGATTTTTCCATACACTTGAAGTGCATGAAACCCACATTTTGAAAATGTAATAAAACTCAGCCAATATATTTCAAAAACGTCAGAACGGCTCATCCGTCGTAATCTGAGTGCCCTGAAGCCGCGGCATGCAAAATTGACTTGAAAAGACGTAATTTACCCCGAACGAGTTTTGTGGATTAAAAAACTACACTGGACTTCTTGTCGGCATGAGGGTCAGTAAGTACTGCCTGTATTTTCATTCTGAAGTGGCCATTTCCTTTAAGCTTGTGTTAACCACAGACCTTACTTCAGGCATCTAATGAAAAACTCATTAAAAAAACCCATTGACTTTAAGATGAGGGAACTGGAATGTTAACTCATTCCTGGGTTTTAAGGACTCATTCCTGGTGGACTCAATTGGCTCGGCTAAAAACAACAAGCTTTACCGTCTGTTACAGGCCACATTTTGGTTTTCATTTTGGCTCAAAAACTGACTTCCATAGAAATGTTTGGTATCATTTAAAACTGGACCAGATCAATTCCATACCCACTATGTTATGATCCACTAAAGTTATGCCTGGTTCACATTACACGACATTTCTGTCTGTTCCAACAATCACTATGTCACATGACGCGATTGTGGAGTCATAAAATCGTGCCATGACTTGGCCGACAGACATGGCAGACTGCACGATGGTCCACACCAATTATCCCCGGTCGTCTTTCACAACTTGTGTGATGTCATCGGGTATTCTTGTCCTATTTTTATAACCTTTACTATTATTTCAGTCACTGTGTCAGCTGACATTGGGCTGATATTGTGTAGTGTGAACCAGGCATTAGACATGATGCGAGATTAATTAGGCCCCATTTCAGTTATCTCTGCCACCATCTTGACTGTAAGGGAGCTGGGAGGGACAATTCTACGAGTTTTGTTCCGTCTGTCACACAGGGTTATACCACAGTGGGAGTATTTCAGAATGTCGGTGATGATTCTCAGTCATCCAGGTCATGGTAATAATAAGCGCTATGTCGTGGGCAACTAGACTTGCTTGCGTTTCTTGAAGACGTTTCACCTCTCATCCATGAAGCTTCTTCAATTCTAAATGACTGGTGCAGATTCACTGGCTTTAAACTCTGTGTGGGTGTGAACCCTTACAGGGTCGTTGAGTCTATGTTGTTTTGTTTTTGTGTCTCTTCCTCTCTGTCCGTTCTGGGTCTTTCTGAGGTTTTTGTAAAGGCCTAGTTGGGGAAGTAACCACAGGTGCTTCCCTGATATGTTTGTGTTCCTTCACTGTCCTCTGTCCTTGTCCACAAGCTGGGAGTCATCAGAACCCCGAACCATCGGGCTGAAAAAGTGCCAACGAGGACGGAGGGGAAGGTGAAGGAACACAAACACATCAGGGAAGCACTTAAAACCTGTGACTTCCCCAACTGGGCCTTTGCAAAAACCTCTAAAAGACCCACAAGAGACAGACAGAGAGGAAGAGACACAAAAACAAACAACATAGTCAAGCTTGTCCATCCTAAGGATAAAACACCCTGGCAGAAGCAGAGAAATGCACTGTATGCACTCCAATGCAGCCAGGAATGCACAGATTTTCACATAACAGCACAGGAGAGCCAGCTCATCAGGTCAAGACCCAGCTGGCCATTTATATCTACAGGAGAAGGGACACTCCCTCAAGGACAGCAATGTGAACATCTTGGCCAGGGAAGACAGATGGGTTGAAAGAGGCGTGAAAGAAGCCGTCTACGTCAAACTGGAATTTCCATCTTTAAACAGAGGAGGTAGCCTACGACACCACTTATCACCCACCTACAATGCAGTCTTGGGATCCCTCCCCAGACGACTTCACACCCATTCACACCTGGTCCCACTTGACCCTAACGACACACATGATGGCTAGGTGGGTCAACGACTCACATGTGACCTCAACGACTCTGTAAGGGTTCACACCCACACAGTGTTTAAAGGCTGTGACTCTGCACCCGTCATTTAGAACTCAAGAAGCAAGCAAGTGCAGTTGCCTACGATATAGCACCTACGAGCATTTCAGAAGCCTTATATATTTTATATTATATCTTTTATTATGTTGGTAACCATTATTGGCATTATTGGCCTCATTACTGTCATGCACTGTAAAGCACACCCTCACATGTAATATTGCTTAAGTAAGTTCCTGATGTAAGCTGCACTACTGTAAGTTACTGTATCACAGAAAAGGGCAGACACATGCTCAATAGGTCAGATAGTCATCAGGATTTTGCACATCACACTGATATAGTCCCATGATATTCAATGTTTCAACATATCACAAGAGGCCGTTTGATAATTGTGAAATCTCTGATCAAGCGACAAACAAAAAACTGTCTGTGAATCTGTATCTGTGGCATGTAATTAGTTTAAAGGGCAATGAAGCACGATTTGCAATATCAAACCAAAGTCACGGTAACACTGTGGAGTGATAAACAGGGAGGTGTGCCTCTACACATTTTCTGCCCTCTCAGGTCAGACCACATTAAATGTTCGGTATGACATCATCAAATGGAGTTACATTTTTTGGATGGTTTTAATTATACTTTAACACCAGGAATGGAAGCAGTCAAAGTGCTTGCAGACCTGTTTTACAGCGAATGTTTTAACTTCTCATTGCAGGAAAAGCACAGGTGCAATTAATAAGATTAACAATGCCTTTGTTCCATTTGAGAGTGCCAGTAAGTGCTGCAGTGAGTGAGCATGCACAATGACAGGACACTGGTACTCAAACACCTGAATGAAATGAAGCCATTGTTAATAAAGGTCATTAGCTGCACCTGTGTTTGACAAATCCAAATGTCAGAAATAACAGAAAGGTTTATAACCCTTTTTTTACTCCAAATGTTTCGGCATTTTAAGTTCCATGTCATTCAAAACTCCCATTATAAATATGATCACATTAGGAAACAGAAATAAAGGGAAATTTAGAACTAAAAGGGAAATGTTTGTGACTATTTAATTGGAACAGACCTGGCTTTCTTGCTCTTATTATGCACTGCAGCAGTTATCATACTATACAGTTTAACTGCATCACAACTGTATCATGTTTTACCATGTACAGGCATGAGTATTTGTATTTTTCAGTGCACCTGGTTTCAATAAAACATCAATTAAGAGCCCTTTTAGCGTCTGATAGTTTGCCAGTTGGTACATTCCTAAATACAAAGAGCTGTTTGGCAAACACTGGAGGAAGAGGAAGAAGTAGAAGAAGAAGAAGAAGAAGAGCAAATCTTTGAAGTTGTGTAGGACTTAGAATATCAGTAAATAATAGATATATTAGTAGATATCTATAATAGATAGATAGATAGATAGATACGTAACCATTAGAAACTCACTACTACTGAACTTTGACAGAGCAGCAAGCGATGTCTCCTCCTGAATATATTTCTCGCTTTTCCCCCAATGGTCTGAAGGAGTCACTAAATTTGTCACGATTTGCTTTTTAGAAATAAAGTTGCTAAGAGGGTCTGAAAAGTCACTAAATCGGACGAGAAAGTCAAGTGTCAAAACTGTGTTAGCCTGAGGCTGAGTGCGCTGCTAGCATGGGGCTAAAGCCAACCTAAAACTATAATACATTTTGCAATTCTCTTTTTATCTACACCTTACCTTTTGTTCTCACTATATTCATTCATTCACAATTACTTCTCAAGAGGTGACCTTAACTGAAATGCCTGTTTTTTTTCTATTTAACTGCAGTTGATGTGAATGTGTAGCTCCACTCTACTGTCAGACACTGACCTGAAACAGTGGTCCGATGTCCACATCAAAGCCCAGATCAGCAAACCCTGTGGCGATGACTTTGGCACCCCTGTCGTGACCATCCTGGCCCATCTTTGCCACCAGCAGTCGAGGGTTTCTGCCCTCGTGCTTCTTAAAATCTGCAACTCTGAGATTGGAAGACAAATTGGAAAGAAACCCTTATGCAACTCAATCAATCTGAGCAATCAGTCTGTGTATAATAAATGTTATAATGCAAATTAGTTTTATTTCCCACCTATTGTGAGCTGCAGCGATCTCTTCATGCTCCCCGAACTCGCTGCGGTAAGCACCGCTCACCATCCTGGTGCTGGCCTTGTGTTCACCAAACACTTTCTTCATGGCGTCAGTTATTTCACCAACTGAACATCTAAACAATATATATACACACGTTATTATTTGTTTTTAAGGCACTGCATGGACACATACCTGCTTACATATCTGAACTGCTCATCCCCTATTCCACCTTTGATCATTCCTGTGTTTTTATATCTATGTTAGGCACTGTTCAACATTTGCTGTTTTTAAATGTGCTTTATAAATAAATCTGACTTAACTTGACAGCATCTTCCATCATATATTTTCACCTTATGACGATAAATAATGCAAACTAGTCACTCAATTTGTTCCAACTCATTTTAAGACTTCCACATTCAATTAACTGAATAAAAAGGCCCTTGTTTTTTTTTCATTTTATTGCAGTATGCTTGATTATCTGTATAATTTATTGTCATGCCTTTTTTAGTGGTTGTGCCACAGAGCAGAAAGACTTACACTAGTCATCTGTCAGAAAGTATAAAGCAAAACACAACAATTCTTATTTTCCAAGTGATTATTAACCAATGAAAACACAGTTATGAAATTATATACAATTTCTGCCAACAGATGCCCCTGAATCCTACACACTGGACCTTGAAGTCATCTCAGTTATTCAATGCTGGTTCCTCTCAGCATGTTGGCTGTCAACAGCATGTGGGCTCTTTGTCAGATCTGTTTTCTTTAAGGCTTAACAGAATCAGATATCCACGTGTATGTGTGTGGGCCTTACATAGAGGTCAAATAGTACATCTCATAATGTTGGTTATAAGACTTCTTTTCCCATGTGACATCATGCTGGTCTTACCAGTAACTTCTTTGCTAGTTATTATCTGACTTTAGTATTCTGGCAGCTTTAAAAAGATATGTATGGAGCTTGAATTTCATCTATGTCCAAACACATGGTCCTCAGCTAAAAGACATCTGATTCTAAAGTAATTTTAATTAAATCTGATTAAATATTTTAAGACAATCCTTTTTCCTGCAATTACTGCTTTGCCACTGATGAGTTCTACTGCGACATGAACTGCCACATGACAGTATGAAGAAATAAGGGCCACAGATACACTGCTAGAGGCTGATGAACAAAAGAGCTCTGGAGAAAAACACCACATGAATATCATGGACATGTGCAAATCAAGTTCACATGTTTTCAAAGCATCAGAGGGTCATGAAAAGGGGAACCTCCTGACACACCAGTTATAAATTGTTATAGGTCATCTGGTGTTCCTACTAAACCTTTTCACAGAGTTCATTTGAGAATAATTAGGCGAAGGAAAGGCAGGAAACATTAAGATGCATGTCGTATGTGAAACTTAAGTCATGCAGACGTAAGTTCTGACCTGGCTCGTGCCGCCTCTACAGCCAGGGCTAAAAGGTTGCCCTCCCTGGTTCGGGCACACTCCTCAATGGCTGCCAGGCACTTTGCCGCTACCTCTGGGTCACGACTCGCCCTCACCTGCAACACAGAAAGTAGGCAAGATGCCATAAACATAGCATTTTTAGTTTTTGCCTGCACAACATTTTTATCATGAATAGAATTTACTACATACAGTGTGTATGGATGAGTCAACTGGGAAAACTTCTGTGTTCTGTTCTGTATGTGCTCTTTAAAGAGACTGAAAGGATTAAAACAGCTTAAAGAGATTTCTTACGGCAGATATTTTGGCTCATCCTTTCAGGAAAAGCACAGGTGTTACTGATAACATCAATGAAACCTCGGTTCCATTTTAGTGCGCCAGTAAACTCTGCAGTAAAAACCCAGCGCAGAGTACAGCATCACAAACATGAGGAGAAACTTCACAGATGTTCTTCACTCTAATCCCCAACATGCACACATGCACAGATTTAAAGAAATAATAGCGCTTCATAAACTGCAGGAACTTATTAAGATTATCATGCCAGAGGAAGCCAAGTTTTATTTTGCAGAAGATATTTAGTGCGTCCACTTGACACTAGAAGGGCTTCAGACACATACTTGTACACAGCTGTAGATGTTAATTACGTTTAATCACGGGTGAGCACATGTAACATTTGTCATCTGTGTTTCGATCAATATTGTGACTCTAACATTACTTGTAAAAGCAATTGATGACTGTTTGCAAGAAAAACAAATATAAAAGTTACCCATATACAAAAAGCTGAATCCAAATATTTCAAGAGGTTTTTTGAGTAATGATGTCAAAACCAAAAATTGTTATAATTGCACCTGGTCTCCTCTAATCAGTTGTGTATTGGTGCGATTTTTATACACCAGCGGCGCCGCTAAAAAAACAAATAGAGAAAACAATGTACATTATCTCTTACATGATCTCATGGGGAAGCAGATGTAATCTAGAATTACCGCCCCGAGGTTGTGTGCCTCTGCACACCACTCAAGTTTCTGTTACAGTTACATCCATGTACATCCAAAAGTGTTTTATGCAGAATATTATGATGTCACAGTGAAGTTCACCTTTGGCCTTTCAGATATAATCAGAATCAGAAATACTTTATTGATCCCCCAGGGGAAATTATTTAAAACAAGCAGGAGCGACTACAACAGGCTGCACGTGTGGGCGCATGCGCACTATCCATGTCCATGTCATCACGTCATTTCATGCTATTAGACATTTGTTTGAGGTTTTGTCATAATCAGCATAAGAATTCTTGTGTTATGGCCCTATTTGTGAGGTCACAGTGACCTTGACCTTTAACTTTCAACCTGTTATCAGTTTACTCTTCAGTAAAAGTGGCCGTTTGTGTCAAATTTGAAAAAATTCCTTTAAGGTGTTCTTGAGATATCAAGTTTTGTCATAATCAGCATAAGAATTCTTGTGTTATGGCCATATTTGTGAGGTCACAGTGACCTTGACCTTTAACTTTCAACCTGTTATCAGTTTACTCTTCAGTAAAAGTGGCTGTTTGTGTCGAATTTGAAAGAATTCCTTTAAGGTGTTCTTGAGATATCCCGTTCACGAGAATGAGATGGGTGCAAGGTCACAGTGATCTTGACCTTTTACGACCAAATCTAATCAGTTCATCGTTGAATCCTAGTGGACGTTTGTGCCAAAGTTGGAGAAATTCCCTCAAACGATTCTTGACATAACATTAACAGAGATGTGATGGACAGATGGACGGATGGACGGACAATCGGTAATGAGGCATAATAAAACACATCAGACTTAGTGTGCAAAGTTTCTGTGCGTCACAGTTTTTATCAGATGACGGATTTATCTTGAGTCATTTATTCATTATTTCTAATTCTATGCTTTTATTCAAATAAGGGACTGTTCGTTATTTATGAGGGGGAAGTGGTGGTGAAAAAAGGGGGAGGCATGTCAAATAATTTTTCAAGCACTGGGGCGGGACTTATGTTTTCTATTTTGGCTTTGGGAAGGGGTGTTCAAATTGAAATGGTTGTATTTTACATTTATTTTAGTGCCAATTTTTCAAGAAAATGTGGCATGTTTTCTTTAAAAATTGTTAAAATTACAGCATTTATCATAACCATTAACTGTAAAAATAAAATTTATTAATGGGTTTTCAAATTTCCAACGGTCCTTGGACACATTATGTGGGACAAACACAAACACACACAAAAAAACCCCACATCTGACTGTAAAATAGTGAGATTTTCCACCAGTCACTCAGGGAGGCTCAAGGAAAAATCTGAAGGTTTGAATATTTGAAGCTTCAGGGAGAGTCAAAATAAAATAAAATTTGATAAGCCACACCCTAGGTTCCCCCTCCTCTGATAAATAACGAACAGTCCCTAATGTTATACATTTCATTTCAATTCATTGCCCTCCTGCATATAATTCATGCACATTATAAATCCAGAATATTGATATAAGAGGATATCTACTGCAGTATTCAAAATAATGATAAAACACATTCTTCACATTTACTCAAACAGAATGGCAACTGAAACAAACTCTTGTGATCCTGGTAAAATATATATAATATACTGTATATACATACATAAAATATGTTTTTTCTGTTCATCTCCATGTGTGACAGATTTCAGTATATTCATCATGTTACTTATTTCGACATGAGAACTGTGAGTCTCAGTATCAATATGAGGATTTTCTGGAGAGGTGATGAACAACACTGAATAAGCACATGTGTTTGCAACTTCCCCTGAGGATCTTTGTTGCATGTGAGTGTCTTCATTATCTCCCTGTGTTTTCTGTCTGTCTTTACTGTCAACGATGAAACAAAATGCCAAAACAAACACACCAAAAAAGCTAATGAACATTTGTATGTGTTCTATATATCAGGGCTGAGGTCATCTCAACACAGCACCTAAGTTGACAACAGTGACAATGTTTTTCTGTCTTTAAATGCGATGGTGTTTTTCTCTGAGTATTTACTTGGACAAAAGCTAAAGGTCAGAAAAACAGCATTAGTCTTTGGGTGCCACACATGTATCTATTCAGTTGTTAAAGGAACACTGACCTTCTTCAGTTTTTCAATCTGTTTCTGGCGCACAGCCGTGTTATCTATAGCCAGCACCTCCACAGTCTCCTCTTTCTCCAGACGGTACTTGTTCACCCCAACAATGACCTCTGATCCTGAGGACGAACAGGGAGAAGAGAACACAGGTTAGTGAATCAGCAGGGGAAAAGAACATTTCAACCACTCATACACACATCTGTGAACAACCTATTCACAGAACAGAATAAGGAGCTTTTAGTTACACAATAGTCCAGACATATGTTACATCCACTGACCCTCCTTTGACCTCTTTCTGAAAGAGAGTCTCTTACAGTCTCAACAGAGACAGCAATAGCTTGACGACATGGCCAAACCCAAGTAAGATGCTGAATGTATTAAACTGTGTGGACCTTGAACTAATGACTAAGGAGAATTCTGGACCCCGAGGCTGAACCAGTTAGGAACCACTGCATGAACATGAAAAATATGTTTTATCTGATCCCACCTGGTGTCCAAGTGCGCCACAGGTGCACCAAAGGAGCCTGGCTGCCCAACTACCAAAAGCTGTATTTAGCAGGCACCAGACGCTCATGGCAGAGCACACCTGACTGCGACAAGAGGGCACCACATTAATATTTCATTGCCAAATGATGCTATCAATAATATCAATAGCGGGTACTGCTTGATCTGACATTCATTCATTCACTCATTTTCCGTGACCCCTTATCCTGTTAAGGGTCTCAGTGGGGGCTGGAGCCCACCAGCTGACACTGGGTGAGAGGCGGGGTTCACCCTGGACAGGTCACCAGACTATCACAGGGCTGACACATAGAGACAGACAAACATTCACACTCACATTAACACCTACGGACAATTTAGAGTCACCAGTTAACCTGCATGTCTTTGGACTGTGGGAGGAAGCTGGAGCACCTGACTGCACCACCGTGCCGTACCGTTGATCTGACATTTTTAGCTTATAACACTTGGGACAGTTGTCTAGACACCTTCTATGCATGCTGGCACGGCGCTCCGGATCTCTGATAAAAAATTACGACAGGGCAACCTCTAGCTCACCAGGTAGAGGTCGCCCCGTGTCAGCTGAATCCTTAGCATCAGCTCAGTTTCGATTTCAACCCGCGGCCCTTTGCTGCCTGTCGTCCCCATTCTCTCTCCCCGTTAGCTGTTCTGTAATAAAGGCCAAGATCCTAAAAAAATCTTTTTAAAAAAACCCTCAGAAGTAGCCTAATAGGAGGAAGCAACTTTTTTGTAATTGTCTTGTTATCTCTTGATAAAAAAGCTCCTTCTCTCATAATAACAAAATAGCAAACTCATGATTTTAAATTAACAGCATTAAATAAAATGATCTGAAGCATGGCTGCTCTCAGTTTCCGTCGTTTTAGCTTTCTTTACCACCTTGTTATTCTATGAAGATTTTTATTATGTAACCATCAAAGACTTAGATAGAAAGCATCCGTTTTCAAAGTATGATGTAAGATGTGACCACATCAGTAGCGAGACAGTCACTCAGCACATTCGTCATTTAGGCGGAGCATTGTCTGACAATCCTCCTGCAGGGTTTGATGGCCTTCAGTCTCTTATGATACTTGGGAATGAGAAAACAGTGATGTGCTCCAACTGCTCGAGAGGAGCCCTCACTACAGAGTAAAACGCCTGGTGGAATAACACAAAAACACCGATAGCGTATTTTCTCATTCCTGGCTGGTAGCTGTAAAAAACTGCTCTTTTAACCTCGGCACTGCTCTTCGTATACCGACATGGTTGAAATTACCCAGTGCCAGAACTACTGAGTCAGGATGGCAGTTTTCAATCTCCATAATTTGGGCAGATATCTGCTGAGAGGCAGCTGTTGCTCCGGCTTGAGGAGGAATGTATACTGCAACCAGGATGAAAGGTGCAAATTTCCTGAGGAGCTCTGGCGCTCATTGTGTTAACAGACCATAACGGTGTATGGTGCCCACGCTATCCTAGATAACTGAATTCTGTAATGAACTGTCATGATAGTCGCTTTCACCACCTTACAGACAAATCCAAATATAGCAGCCTTGCAACTTCATGGTCATCTTAAAAAAACAATGATTGCTATGAACACTCAAGTGTCCAAAAAATACACAGCAAGTAGACAGAAGCTTGTAATTCTCTATATTCTGGGGGAAAAAAAAATCTCACAATTGGACCACAGTGTTGGCAAAACCAAAGCTGAGAGCTGAACATGGTCAATCAGAATTCAAGCCCCATCAGAAGTGCAAACAAATGTCAGCAGCAACGATGGGCTGCGAGGAGTGAATGAGAAAGTCAATGAATATCAATGAGTGCAGGCATCAGGGGGATTAAGGCGGAGAGCTACACAGTCCGTGAAGGTTCTACTGTGCTCCGTCGCAGTCATCTCTGCCCTTATGTGAGTAAAACAAATTCCGAGGAGACACAAAAAAAAGCCTCAGCTGAACACCCTGATAACAACCTCTCCAAGTGTGTACACATGCCGGCCTCGCTCCTCTAACAACACAACAACATACACAAGGTCTGTTTGAATAAAGCTGTGATATCTTTTGTGAGCTGAGTTACTATCCGCTTGTGGTAGTCTTGCTACGCCAGCCTACAAATTATGTTTCAGGCACTAGAGTCTAACGAGGCTCAACAGGCAAGCGCTTGGGTAAAGGGCACTTTCAGGAGGCATATACATACATACATACATACATTTATATATATACAGTACAGGCCAAAAGTTTGGACACACCTTCTCATTCAATGCGTTTTCTTTATTTTCATGACTATTTACATTGTAGATTCTCACTGAAGGCATCAAAACTATGAATGAACACATGTGGAGTTATGTACTTAACAAAAAAAGGTGAAATAACTGAAAACATGTTTTATATTCTAGTTTCTTCAAAATAGCCACCCTTTGCTCTGATTACTGCTTTGCACACTCTTGGCATTCTCTCCATGAGCTTCAAGAGGTAGTCACCTGAAATGGTTTCCACTTCACAGGTGTGCCTTATCAGGGTTAATTAGTGGAATTTCTTGCTTTATCAATGGGGTTGGGACCATCAGTTGTGTTGTGCAGAAGTCAGGTTAATACACAGCCGACAGCCCTATTGGACAACTGTTAAAATTCATATTATGGCAAGAACCAATCAGCTAACTAAAGAAAAACCAGTGGCCATCATTACTTTAAGAAATGAAGGTCAGTCAGTCCGGAAAATTGCAAAAACTTTAAATGTGTCCCCAAGTGGAGTCGCAAAAACCATCAAGCGCTACAACGAAACTGGCACACATGAGGACCGACCCAGGAAAGGAAGACCAAGAGTCACCTCTGCTTCTGAGGATAAGTTCATCCGAGTCACCAGCCTCAGAAATCGCAAGTTAACAGCAGCTCAGATCAGAGACCAGATGAATGCCACACATAGTTCTAGCAGCAGACCCATCTCTAGAACAACTGTTAAGAGGAGACTGCGCGAATCAGGCCTTCATGTTCAAATAGCTGCTAGGAAACCACTGCTAAGGAGAGGCAACAAGCAGAAGAGATTTGTTTGGGCCAAGAAACACAAGGAATGGACATTAGACCAGTGGAAATCTGTGCTTTGGTCTGATGAGTCCAAATTTGAGATCTTTGGTTCCAACCGCCGTGTCTTTGTGAGACGCAGTAAAGGTGAACGGATGGATTCCACATGCCTGGTTCCCACTGTGAAGCATGGAGGAGGAGGTGTGATGGTGTGGGGGTGTTTTGCTGGTGACACTGTTGGGGATTTATTCAAAATTGAAGGCACACTGAACCAGCATGGCTACCACAGCATCCTGCAGTGACATGCCATCCCATCCAGTTTGCGTTTAGTTGGACGATCATTTATTTTTCAACAGGACAATGACCCCAAACACACCTCCAGGCTGTGTAAGGGCTATTTGACCAAGAAGGAGAGTGATGGAGTGCTGCGGCAGATGACCTGGCCTCCACAGTCACCGGACCTGAACCCAATCGAGATGGTTTGGGGTGAGCTGGACCGCAGAGTGAAGGCAAAGGGGCCAACAAGTGCTAAACACCTCTGGGAACTCCTTCAAGACTGTTGGAAAACCATTTCAGGTGACTACCTCTTGAAGCTCATGGAGAGAATGCCAAGAGTGTGCAAAGCAGTAATCAGAGCAAAGGGTGGCTATTTTGAAGAAACTAGAATATAAAACATGTTTTCAGTTATTTCACCTTTTTTTGTTAAGTACATAACTCCACATGTGTTCATTCATAGTTTTGATGCCTTCAGTGAGAATCTACAATGTAAATAGTCATGAAAATAAAGAAAACGCATTGAATGTGAAGGTGTGTGTCCAAACTTTTGGCCTGTACTGTATATATATAAAAAAACACACAAGGAGAAAACCGGTAGACGTGACCCTGACCTCAGGGTGCCTACGGGTATCAGACACTTAAATTTAATGCTTTTTAAGTCCTTCCAAGATCACTTTTAACCAAATTTAAGATTTTTTTTTGGACGTTCACACAGAAGAGCTTGATTCATTTTGACAAAAAGAAATTAAAAGATGGATAAATGAAATTAGATAAAGTGTCGAGGCAACTGAGAAACAAATTCAAATTAATATTCAAAACTATTTAATGTCTTTTAAGGCCCTATATTTATAAAATTGAACTGACATTTTAAGATTTAATCGGGACCTTAATACCACCCTGGATTTAAATATTTCATTCCAAATATGGTTAGAAAAATGACCATTTTAGACAGGATGAAGAAGCTCGGTACATTACTTAATGTCAAAACTGAAACGTCTATTTGACATTCTCAAAGCGGCTCTAGTGAGTTAAGAGGCAGAGAGAATTAAGTATTTTAGACAGACGAAGAAGCTAGAAAGATCAAAGGATGAGAGGCTTTAAGGCAATAAGATTATGATTTATTCAAACAGTACCTGAGTCAATGCGGGCCTGTCTGCGAGCTGCACACTCCTCAATGCGAAGTTTAGGGATCCCCTCTGCCACAGCTCTGGCCATGCCTCCCATCTCTTCAATGTCTTGGATGAACTGAAAGAAGGAAAACGCAGCTTGTAAAAGAGTGACTCAGTGATGATGGATTATTTCTGCAGATGTATGCTGACATTTACCCCACAACATAATGTGGTTTTGAAAAGCACTTATCCATAGACAGTTTACTACATACAGTAGGTCTCAGTCGGCATGCCCCCAGTTTGGAGAAGCAGGATGGAGTCGGACATGGAAGCTAAGTTATGTACTGCTGCAGAGTCAGCAGCAAAACCAATTTTAGCCACCTAAAAAATCAGTATCAGTTTAAGTGTACGCTATATTCAGAACATTTTCACTGCTTTACCTTACCGTCAGAAAACAAGTTCAGTAGGGAACTGAAGCCGTTTTAACACTTTTCAAAGCCAGACTCCATTTAGAAAACTGTGATTTAACATCGCTCAACAGAGGAGCTGCTGGTCTACCGCTGCCTCCATTAGATAGTTAGTTTGAGTTATTGTGTGAATCTGGCATTTTAAAGGGTTAACTCGGACTCACCAAAGTCACACAATAACACAAACTAACTAACTGATCGAGGCAGAAGTAGACCAGCAGCTCCTGTGTTCAGTGAGTCAAATGACCTTTTTTAGCAATGGAGTCTGGTGGCTTTGACGAGAGCATATATAGGGAACTGAAGCCAGTAACGCCTCGTTTCCAATCATTACTCTGACTGGTGTCTGTAGATCCATAAATACACGGATGATGCCTCTAGTGTCCAACAGAAGGAAGTGCATTTCTCTACGGATGGGTAGAAACCTGATAGGCACTACCTGTAGCGGTGGGGGAGAGGCTTTTTTTGTCCGTTTTCGCCATCCAGTAGTTTGGAATATGTGCTTGGAACACTACCTGGACAAAAACAGGACCTGCCAGGTACGTGGCATGTTAAATTCTTAATTAAAAAGACATATGAATGGCTGAATGAGTCATAATGACAATCTGACTGTATAACCATATTTTAGCAGAATAACATTACTCAGATAAACATGTTCTTTTCATCATACAAACTCACTTGACAATGAGCACAAGCAACTGAATTGAAGAAAATACCCTGTTAGCTTAGCTAGCACACTGTCATACAGTCTCTCCGAAATCCACTGCAAAAGTTCAAATTTTTGAATGTACTCGAGGCAAATTCCGGACCGAAATATTACAGAGAGGAGGAGTTTTGCAGGGACATCGCATATCACTGAGATTCCCATAGGAATTGATAGACTTCCTGTTGCCATAAGTGGAAAACGAGGGGCATTCTCGGAACCCATCGGCTGTATTCGGCGTCTGACTTCCGGCAGACGGCGATACAGCCTCTGGGGGCAGACCCCTGATTTTTTGGCATTCCGGTTTGATTTGGGCGGAGGAGGTGAATTTCCGTTTCCGACTTCCGTTTATATATAAGTAAATATGCTGAACCATTGCAATGGATTCAGAGTTTGCAGTGACGGCAGTTATGTTCCGCCTCGTTAGTTCACCGCACGGAGCGTTTAACCTGGCAACAACTGCAGCCGGCTCAAACGTGATCAGTCAATATCACGCGGACTACAAACAGCCTACAACCGGAAACCAGGGCTCTTCCACTCATCTTCCAGAGGCAAGATCTCCGGGGTTTGCCTACAGACTCTACGTTGACTGAATGTAGAGTCTGTATATAGAAACTAAATAACAGCTTCCCTGTCGGAACGGGTTGTCTGGCGGAAAGGTCAAGCAGTGAAAATTCTCTCAATATAGCATACATTTAAACTGTATTCGATTTTTTTTGGTGGCTACAATAAATTTTGCTACAGCCCCCGTCCACAGCAGTACATTGCTTAGCTTCTGTGGCGGTACTCCTGTCTGCTTCTCCAAACTGTGGGCGTGCCGATCACAATCTACAGTTGGTAATGAACTGACGAAGGATAAGTGCCTCATACAACCCCACTTTAAAGGATCTGAAATATCCCTTTAATAAGAACACTACTCTGATTACTTCCGAAGGAAGCCCGACCTGTTGCCCATTTGTCCTCATGACAAACCTTCATAGCTTTGTTGTAGACATCATCCGTGAGAGCCTCCATCATGTGCGAGCCCCCCCAGGGATCAGCGACTTTGGGGATGCCCGATTCTTCCTGGATGATGATCTGGGTGTTCCTGGCAATGCGAGCACTCTTCACTGTGGGCAAGCCCAGAGCTTCATCAAACGAGTTGGTGTGGAGCGACTGAGTCCCCCCGAACACGGCTGCCATGGCCTCAATCACTGTGCGGATCACGTTGTTGTATGGATCCTAAGAGGAGGGATCACAGGGTGATGCTGTAACGACTATTCTTTGATTGTGACGTGTTTGATCTCTGTATAGTTTAAAGACTTATATTTACTTGTTCAGTAAGAGACCAGCCTGAAGTCTGACAGTGTGTGCGGAGGAGCAGAGACTTGGCGTTCTTGGGCTGGAAGTTCTCTTTGATGAGCGTGGCCCACAACCTCCTGCCTGCCCTCAGCTTGGCGATTTCCATGTAGAAATTCATCCCAATACCCCAGAAGAAGGACAACCTGACAGCACATACAAAAAAGGCAGAAGAGAGAAATATAGTCAGTTATTGGAATTAACTAAACCTGGAAAAGTGTAGATCCTCCCTGTCTCCATGTGGCTCAAAGAAATCTCCTTGTACTTGGCATCACAAAAATGTGTTTAATCTTAAATGCAAACCATATCTCTTTGATAACTGCTGGTCTGGTTTCAGGAGTTAAATGGGAAATATTTCTCAGCCTGATGTGGGTTGACAACAACATATGTCTGACAGTTGCACTCAAGCTAAGGTATTAACACCGATGCTTTCATTATGGCCTCATGTTTTATATCAACACCAGTACGCAAACAAGCAGATATAGTCACACATTCCACCCAGTGATGACTATTACTGCAAACAGATGGCAAGCAACAAACCTCATCATAGCTTAAACTGTAAGTTTGGTATTTCTTTAACCTGGATCCTGTTTCCCAATGTTTTTGTGTCTACATGACTAATGGGAGCAACAGTTTTTAAACTGGTTCAGTATTCAGAGAGAGGGCTACAGCCAGCAACAGCCAAACAGGCTGGGATTTAACCACTCTCACAACATTATGGAAAGGATCCCTACAGAGATAGACCCTTCTGTAAAAGAGTGAGACCCTTTTGTTTAACCACAAACAGCCCCAAACAACTATCACTAAACCCACCAGACTCCATTTAAATAAACAGTAATTTTGTCATTGTAAACACACTTAATTCAAAGTCAACAGCAACAAAATAAAACTCACAAAAACCATCTTGGTTCAACTTTCCACTGTTCCAACAATCACCAGCTCTGGTTTGGTTCAAATAAATCCTTAATTCACCCACTCACTTAAATGTACATATGTTTAAATGGAGTCTGGTGGGCTTGGCAATGGCACTTTCAGAGCTGTTTTTGGTTAAACAAAAAGGAAACTCTCTAACAAAAAGGTCTATTGTTCCTATTAGTCACTTTCTTAGACACAAAACATGGGGAAGTAGGATCGAGGTTGAAAAATGCAAAACTTACCCTTTAAAGGATAACTTAGGTATTTTTCAACCTGGGCCCTATTTCCTCATGTGTATGTGTGCGTATGATTCATGGGTACAACTTGTTCTAAAATTGGTTCAGTATTGAGGGAGGTGGATGCAACCGGGAGCCGCGAAACGAGCTAAAACGGTAACGGGGGCAAATGTGTCCCGTATAAGTTTGCGCATTAAAAGTGCTTTTTTTCGCCACTGACCGGTTCAGACCGCCAGTGCTATGAGTGATTTGAGTGGAGTCAGCTGTCAGCCGGTGTTGGAGCAGAGAGGGGGAGGGCTGCCCCGCTGGGTACTGTAAGTGAGTATCTCTGGAGTGTTACCGGAGTTTTTGGAGTGCTCAAATAAACAGGCCTTTTTCCCGAACGTAAGAACAGGATGTCACGCAACACCCCATACAGCTTTCGTAGGCTGCCTTTGTTGGACGGCGAGATGCTGAAGTTGTGGCTAGTTGTGCTACAAATGGATGCTAACACTCCTGTCCAGACACTGCGCCTTGCAGACCATCGGGTCTGCAGTGCTCACTTCTCCCAAGATGACTACTGCCAGCCGAAGAAGAGAAGACATCCAATCCCAAAACACCTCTTCCTCAAGAAAACGGCTGTCCCACGAGTAGAGAGAGCTACAGACACAGTGGAGCAAAGCTCGTGACATCACACAGCCCAGAGGTAAGGGAAATGTTTAGTATGCTATTTACAGAGATAGCACTGGCGATCTGAACCGGTCAGTGGCGAAAAAAAGCACTTTTAAAGCGCAAACTTATACGGGACGCATTTGCCCCTGTTACCGTTTTAGCTCGTTTCGCGGCTGCCGGCTGCATCCGCCTCCCTCAATACTGAACCAATTTTAAAATGAGTTCTACCTATGAATCATACGCACACATACACATGGGGAAATAGGGCCCAGGTTGAAAAATGCAAAACTTACCCTTTAACGTCCAGGGCTGAAGTTTTCAAATACGCTGCCATACAGACAAAAACAAAGAGGAACATGGTTGAGATGCTACTTGGGTTGGTTTAAGGTTGAAAAATCGTTTAGGGTGTCACAACCTTTCCACCTGTCAGCATCCACATGTAATGCATTCCAGTTTTAAAAGCTGGGTGTACAAGGTCCACATTCAGTGGCAGACAGTGCCAACTAATATGGGCTGCAATAAGAAGGACCATGAAACTCAGGATCATATCTTACACCTGTCGTAAAGCAGTAAGCAGCACAGTGCAACTGTAATCACTAAATTTGGACCGTCCAACACCCATGTTGTATAAGAGAGCTGCAGAGCTGCAGAGCTGCCGTCTGACTCCTCATCAAGAGAGATGCTGTGTACATTAAGGAGAAGCGTGACTCCATTGATTGATTCAGAAGCTAAGAGTTTAAGGCCCTGACACACCAAAGCGACAGTCAGTTGTCGGTCAGTGTTGGGCCAATGGTGAGTGTCTATAGCCCTAAATTGGTGTGGTGTGCAAAATGTGCAAATGAGAACTGGCCTCCTCCACACTTACTAAGATGTTAATATTTTGTACCTTGGGGCAAATTCATCGATTGTTAAGCCTGCTTTCAGACCAGTGCGGCAGTACTCCAGGCCGTTAGCGATGGTGTATGCTACTTCCAGGATGGCATCAGCTCCAGCTTCCTGAAGGTGGTAGCCACTGATGGATATGGAGTTGAACTTGGGCATGTGCTGGTAACATGGAGACACATTAGAGTCACAATATGATTGATGAGGATAACATTAACAACATGACATAAAGGAAGCACCTCAGCACCGAAGGGAACAGTTCACCCTCAAATCAATAATACTGTATTTTTGATCTTGAGGTAAATTGCCCCATTAAGTGACACTTATGGTACCTACCTTGGAGGTGTAAGCAAAAATGTCAGCGATGGCGTGCATTGAAGGTTCCGGGGGGAAGATATAGGTGTTGCGTACCATAAACTCCTTCAGAATATCGTTCTGAATCGTGCCAGTTAGTTTGGCTATAGGCACGTCCTGCTCCTCTCCAGTCACTATAAACATCGCCAACACCGGGATGACGGCTCCGTTCATTGTCATTGATACAGACATCTTCTCCAGTGGGATTCCATCAAACAACATCTTCATGTCCTCAACTGTGTCTATGGCAACTCCAGCCATGCCGACATCTCCGTGGACTCGGGGGTTGTCCGAGTCGTAACCACGGTGCGTCGGGAGGTCAAAAGCCACGGAAAGACCCTGCTGTCCAGCTGGGAAGAAAGAGAACAAGAGATAGTGGGTGTGAGCCCTTGAGAAAATGCAAAAAGGGAAGGGATGTCATTGCTTGATATCTACAGTGTTTCAATCTACCTTTAATGTTATCTTTATAGAACTTGTTGCTCTCCTCCACGGTGCTAAAGCCAGCATACTGCCTGATAGTCCACGGTCTGTAGGTGTACATGGTAGGATAGGGCCCCCTAGTGTAGGGAAACACTCCCGGCAACTCATCTGGCCTGCCAGCTGAGTCTGTTTGGGTGTACACAGGCTTGATGTTAAGTCCCTCAGGCGTGCGCCAGATCAGATCTTCCGGATTCTTCCCCTTCAGCTGTTTCTTCGCCAGACTGGCCCACTCAGGATGCAGGTCCTCCTGATCCTGACGTCGTGTGGAGGTGTGGATCAGACAGCGGTGTGTGCGTGCTGAGGAGACAGACGCTCTAACCAGGCGCCGGGCAGCCATCGCTGCACACGCCCTCTGTGCAGTCAGCATGCTTACTGTGACTCAATCAGACGCACATGGACCACCTGAGGGAGATAATGAGGAACAGATATGAAGTGGTGAAAAAAACGTAGTTAGGAGTGAGGTAGTGAAGCCAGCACACATGGGCTGAACACTTAAGCACATCATCATCCTCTATGGAGATAACTGACTCAAACCTGTTAATGTTAGAGAAGAAAACAGTGCTTCAAATATGATAATTTCGGTACACTGTGCAGGATTGTCTCTTCCTTTTTGTAAACACGCTCACCAGCAAAAGTCAAAGCAAAAGCCAAGACCAGATTTACTGTCATTTGGCTTTTTGTCTCTGCACTGTGTCTCTTGGATGCCTGCTGCTTACGCTCTGGCACCTTTTTATAAAGGCCCGACCTCACCTGAGCACTGTGGGGATACACACCCATGAACAAGGGCTCAGAGTCTCTGCAGATATATACACCACCACACACTTCTAGTGGGCCTTAAGGGATGACTGAGAGGGCTTACTGCTGTATGAGTGATCTGCTGCATAGTGTATCTTTACGAAGTCAATTGTTTTTGCCGCATGGACATCATCCTGCCAGCAACATATCTTACAGTGAGAAATATTAGTGTTGGTTTCCTGCTTGCTGACACCCTCTACACTTTGTTTTAGTGGATGATTAACATGAGGCCAAACAGTAAAACAGCATACTCTGACACAAGAATGCCCTTCACAGTCCAGTTGTTGTTGTACTAACAGCACTCAAAAAATAATTCCAATATGTTATTTCAACGACAAAGGAAAGTTTTATCAGTATTTGAGAGCATGAGCAACTTTCTCTCTCAAAGCCAGAAACCAGTCTCAAACATGTGATGTCATCAGGTATTAAGTCTGGAGCAGTTCCAGTGGCATTGTTAGGTCTGGGCATCCAAGACTCCAGTCCCAAATGTCCTATGTAGAGACCTGGTTCTAAATGGGTTGTATATATTTAAATGAACAAATAATTTAATAAATAAATAAAAATAGGCCTGATAATATATATATTTTTTTAAATCTCCAGATCTAATAATGTGCCATTTCGTTCATGCATTAAATCCCTCACAAATAATATGACATCGCTGATTAGGAATGGATCTTCCATGTCATTCAAGCAGCGCATTTTGAGTGAGATCATGTGCAAGAGAGAGACAGCACTGCCGGTAATCAGTTAAATATTGCAGCTGATAAAGGTGGAGCTCATTTTAAATGCTTTATATTAGGGCCCGACCGATTTATCAGCCGATTATAGCCATTAGAGAATAATCGGCAGTCAGCCAAAGTTGGCCTATTGACGGCGATGTTAACACTTAACACTTTCATCACTAATAAAATGCAGGGGATATGGTATTTTACTTAGAAATTATCCTTGTGTTACTTTTTGCACTATAACCTCCCTCTGTTAAATTGGCAATAATAAGAAGAACTCTGGTACTGTGAACATACATGTGAATGTCTTAATTCATATAGACTTTGCATGATTATGTTATTTCCCAGAGCCTTTTTGCACATCATAATTTTGATTTATTTTTTGTTCAGATTGTTCATATGCTGCTTGTTCCACACAATTTCTGATAATAAAGCATTTGAAAATAGTAAAATGTTCTTCCTTCAATTTATATATTTGTAACAAGTGTTTGAACTACAGTACAGGCCAAAAGTTTGGACACACCTTCTCATTCAATGCGTTTTCTTTATTTTCATGACTATTTACATTGTAGATTCTCACTGAAGGCATCAAAACTATGAATGAACACATGTGGAGTTATGTACTTAACAAAAAAAGGTGAAATAACTGAAAACATGTTTTATATTCTAGTTTCTTCAAAATAGCCACCCTTTGCTCTGATTACTGCTTTGCACACTCTTGGCATTCTCTCCATGAGCTTCAAGAGGTAGTCACCTGAAATGGTTTCCACTTCACAGGTGTGCCTTATCAGGGTTAATTAGTGGAATTTCTTGCTTTATCAATGGGGTTGGGACCATCAGTTGTGTTGTGCAGAAGTCAGGTTAATACACAGCCGACAGCCCTATTGGACAACTGTTAAAATTCATATTATGGCAAGAACCAATCAGCTAACTAAAGAAAAACGAGTGGCCATCATTACTTTAAGAAATGAAGGTCAGTCAGTCCGGAAAATTGCAAAAACTTTAAATGTGTCCCCAAGTGGAGTCGCAAAAACCATCAAGCGCTACAACGAAACTGGCACACATGAGGACCGACCCAGGAAAGGAAGACCAAGAGTCACCTCTGCTTCTGAGGATAAGTTCATCCGAGTCACCAGCCTCAGAAATCGCAAGTTAACAGCAGCTCAGATCAGAGACCAGATGAATGCCACACAGAGTTCTAGCAGCAGACCCATCTCTAGAACAACTGTTAAGAGGAGACTGCGCCAATCAGGCCTTCATGGTCAAATAGCTGCTAGGAAACCACTGCTAAGGAGAGGCAACAAGCAGAAGAGATTTGTTTGGGCCAAGAAACACAAGGAATGGACATTAGACCAGTGGAAATCTGTGCTTTGGTCTGATGAGTCCAAATTTGAGATCTTTGGTTCCAACCGCCGTGTCTTTGTGAGACGCAGAAAAGGTGAACGGATGGATTCCACATGCCTGGTTCCCACTGTGAAGCATGGAGGAGGAGGTGTGATGGTGTGGGGGTGTTTTGCTGGTGACACTGTTGGGGATTTATTCAAAATTGAAGGCACACTGAACCAGCATGGCTACCACAGCATCCTGCAGCGACATGCCATCCCATCCGGTTTGCGTTTAGTTGGACGATCATTTATTTTTCAACAGGACAATGACCCCAAACACACCTCCAGGCTGTGTAAGGGCTATTTGACCAAGAAGGAGAGTGATGGAGTGCTGCGGCAGATGACCTGGCCTCCACAGTCACCGGACCTGAACCCAATCGAGATGGTTTGGGGTGAGCTGGACCGCAGAGTGAAGGCAAAGGGGCCAACAAGTGCTAAACACCTCTGGGAACTCCTTCAAGACTGTTGGAAAACCATTTCAGGTGACTACCTCTTGAAGCTCATGGAGAGAATGCCAAGAGTGTGCAAAGCAGTAATCAGAGCAAAGGGTGGCTATTTTGAAGACACTAGAATATAAAACATGTTTTCAGTTATTTCACCTTTTTTTGTTAAGTACATAACTCCACGTGTTCATTCATAGTTTTGATGCCTTCAGTGAGAATCTACAATGTAAATAGTCATGAAAATAAAGAAAACGCATTGAATGAGAAGGTGTGTCCAAACTTTTGGCCTGTACTGTATATTTAAGCCATCAAAAGCAGGTATTTCAGGGTTTTTTCAATTGAAAATCGTAAAAATTTAATCGGCCGATATATCGTATTTTTTTTATTCCATAATATCGGAATCGGCATCGGCCCCAAAAAATCCATATCGGTCGGGCCCTACTTTATATACTGCTGGATAGTTAAATCTATAATTATACATCATCATTTATTAGTTTATTTGATTTTATATTATTAACCTGACATTTCAAAGTCACTAAAGCAGACAAATAAATGTAGTGCAGTAAAAAGTACATTTTTCCCTCAGAGATTTAGTGCAGTAAAAGTACAGAGTAGCATAAAATGGAAATACTTGAGTGCAAGTACCTCTAAAGTCTTTAAATGTTAAAGTATTTTGTTTCTAATCAGTTACTAACAACTACTAATATTTGTAACATCACAGGTGTGTAACCTGGGAAATAAAATTAAAATCAGCTTTTAGGGGTAAATAAGATGCCAGAGTGCATTTTAAAAAATCTAAATAGAGCTTGCTCATTAAAAAAAATTGCCAGGGGAGGATCCCCCCTCAGACCCCCTTACAGAGGCCCGGGCTGAGCCCCTGATGTCCTCATATTTTAGAAACACCTCTGAATTGCTCCATAGACAATGAATGAATAGAAGCCTGATTCTGCAGACCTGAGGGACCAATGGGTGAACCTTTTCCAGATGTGTGTTCTGGACTAAAAATAAACCACTGTCTAGTGCACATTATCTCTTTGGATTTGGCAATCCCTTTATTCTCAATACAATTTACACATGCTCAACATCGCATAGAAAGGCAACAGCACTGCCATATGTAATCATTATTCCATTTAGCAAATTCAGTCTTCTACGATCAAAAACTGTCTGCTTCCCGTTCAACACACTTGGAGCTTACCTATATGCACTTTACACATGAATGCTTCTCCCTGTGTTCACTTTCATAACTGTCTGTGTATATTCATATCTAACTTGTGTTTAGATTGAATAAAGTAAACAAACTAAGACTATATTATGACTCTTAGAATGATCTCAACTCTAAAACAGAAAATGTACCCACATACACAGAACATTCATGTCATCTTTCCAGATTCAGTATCTGTGGAGCAGCTTCAGGCTGTATACCCCATGACATCACAAATTTGATTTTTAGCACTTTAGTTTTGGACTTGGAAGACAGTTCATCAAGTTTACTAACATTTATCGATGGTCTTAGACCATAGGAATAACGTATGGATTTAAAAATGGGCGTAGTTTCCCTTTAATCTCTCAATACCCACATAATGTGAAGCTATACTGTAAAGCAGACACGTTACGTCACTGCTTCGTAGTACTGCCCAGTCATATCTGAAGTAATTAAATTACAACTGGGCATGTCTGACCATACTTAGCCAGCAGCTAACATGTGATATCGACACTAGATGACATTGTTGTAACACTTGACAGCAACAACGTTCACATTAGCTAGTTTAGCATGGTTTAGCATTGTCAACAAGCCACTAGCCAGATATCATCTTTTAGCAAAGTTTAAAAGGCAGCGAAAGATTAGACACCAATAAACGACAGTGATAACTTGTTCACGTAATATTAAAGAGGCAAAATGTGCAAGGTAATGTTGACATGACGTTAGGTGAGCTGCAGCTGTGCTGCTGCGCACTGCTAGCTAACAACGACTGTTAGCATGAGCTATTAGCATTCGTTTGAAGTGCTAAAATAATGTCC